CTGGGAGCTGACTTGGTAAGAACTGAAGCTTTCACTGACTGAGAAGGTATACTGAAAAAGAGCTAGAGTATCAGCTTGGAAACAATGTTTCTATGACCCTGTCTATTTTAGCTTCCTCTTGCTTCCGTAACAAATGACTACAAATGTGGCAGTTTAAAACAACACAAATTTATTATCTTACAACTCTGGGGGTCAAAAGTGTGAAATGGCTAAAACGCAGATGTCAGCAGAGCCGAGTTCCTCCGGAGGCTTTAGGAAGGGATCCAGTCCTTGCTTTTTCCGGCTTCTAAAGGCTGCGGCGTTTCTCGGCTCAGGGCCACAGCACCGTGACCTCTGCTCCGTCACCCCGTCTCCCTCTCTGATTCTGACCCTTCTGCCTTCCTCTTTTGGTGACCCTTGTGATTACATGGGGCTCACCGGATGATCCAGGATAATCTCCAAATCTCCAAATCCTTAATCACATCTGCAAAGTCCTTTTCACCTTGTAGGGTAACATATGTACAGCTTCCAGCGATCAGGTTGTGGGCATCTCTGGGGAAGCCATTACTCTGCTCACCACACTCAGGGAGAAACATCCAGTGGACTTGAGTGTCCTGGGCCTTAACTACTACAATCCCTTTCATCTATACAGTTTCAGAGTACTTCTACACACATCATTTTTTTCTCTCCTTGCATTGATCTTGGCAAGTAGATAAAGGCAGTAGTAAGTCCCTCGAAAGGGGAGTAGATAAAACTCAGAGGGGAGGTGGCGTGCTGGGTGACACAGCTAGAAAGAGGCTCAGGCCCTCGTGTTTTAATTCAGCACCTCCCCCCACCCCCCTGAGGTCCTGGCCATGCTCCAGTGTATTCTGGATGGTGGGTCAGGGCAACTCCGCAGCTACCCCCACAATCTGGGACCAGCTGCCAAGGTGAGCCAGCTCCCTCAGGCCCGAATCTGCCCCCAGCAAGCGGCCTGCTGACCAGGGCGAGGAGGGAGCGGTGCAGGCAGAGAAGCTTCCTTTTAGGGGAGGTCAGCATCAGTGTCCATCCTTCTTGGGCGCATCCTCCCCAGCAGCCCAGGCCGACTGGACCAGTGCGGGGACTCCCGCATGCTCAGGAGGGAGCTCTGGTTCTTAGAAAAATCTTCTTATAGGAATCCTCCCAGGAACATGTCACTGGGATTTGCAGTTTTGCCCTCCTGGGTGCTATCACATGGGAGAAACCAGCTGTCTCCCCGCCCCACAGGTCCTGGAAGGCAGCTACCATGAGCCCACTGACGCTGCTGCAGGCTTCCCCCACCCCATCCGTTAGGACAGCCTACTGTGGCCGCCGCTGCCACCCAGGAACTGAGGACACAGCTGTGAATCTAACGGGCAAGGCTTCTGCTGCCCTGGAGCTTGTGCTTTAGCCAAGCACAGACAGACCCCACAGAAGTGCATGTGACAAGGATTCTGTGGATAAGAAACAGAATGAAACCATAGCGGGTGACAGCAATGCTGTGAGATGGGCATTGTCCCCACTCTGAAGAGGACAGCCAGGCAGGGGAAAAGTTGGGAAGCAAACACATGTTTTACCCCAAAACTCCCCTTGCTCTGGGCCCCTGCTGTATGTGGCTTCGTAAGTCTGCCCTGTGTCCTTCTCAAGAAGGGTCTCAGCATCTATACATCATCCCTGAGGCTGAAGTCGGTCCATGTGCGAGTCCCGCTGAGCGTGAGCCTGGCAAGGTCACAGTCAGGAGGGGAGGGGTGGGATGCATCGTTTCAGGGGACAGCAGCCAGGTGTGGGAAGGGCAACAGAAACAACGGGGGAGTGGGCCAGGTGTGTACGCAGAAGTGAGACAGAGTGGCAAGCAGAACTGGGAGGGGGGCCAGATGTGAAAGGCTGGAGAAGGGACACCTCCCAGCCTCGGGCTTTGGGAAGGTGGCTGTCCCTGGGACATGGATGATGCAGTCTGTGGAGGAGACATGCTTTCTATTTGGGGAGGCTGTTCAGCCTCTGGAAGGAGTAACTGACGACATGCCTGGCACCTGGCTGGGTAGAAATAAACAGAGGCGTGAAGCCATAATTTATGTCATGTCTTCTGTCAACCCAGCCGCCACCTCCTCCCTGGGCTTGAGGAAGTTGCTCAGAGCTGCTGCACTGGGAGGAGACTGCTAGAGCCACGCTGGCTGAGTGATGCTGTGCCTTGAGCTGTGCTTCACCTCTTCCTGGCCTTTGTACCTGCTGCTTTGCCCTCACCTGCAGTGCCTGCCACTGACCTGCCCACAGAGCTCTTATCCAGTGGCCCACCTCAAATGCCACCTCCTCTAACAAGGCTCCCTTCATATCCAGTCTGCAGTTCCCAAATTGTAATTAATCACTAACCCCCAAACACACACATACTTTCAGATGACTGAACTGTCTGTCCAAAGTACTCTGACCTTGTTCCACCCCCACCCCAAGGGCACATGAGTGAGCATCAGGGAATCCCTGGAATTGAATGCAAAATCATGTGCAAAATCAAATGTGCTGATGAATGGATAAACAAAATGTGATATCCCCATAAAATGAAATATTATCCAGCCATAAAAAGGAATGAAGTACTACTGATACATGTTATGTTAAATGAAAGACACCAGACACAAAAGGCCAAGTATTGTATCATTCCATTTATATGAAATATGCAGAACAGGCAAATCAATAAAGACAGGAAGGAGCTTAGTGGTTGCTGGGGGCTGGGGAGTGACTGCTTAATGCATATAGGGTTTTCTTTCAGAGTGATAAAAACATTCTGGATCTAGATAGTGGTGATGGTTGTACAACATTTTGTATGTATTAAATGTCACTAAATTGTATACATTAAAATGGTATTTTATATGTATTTTACCACAAAAAAAAGTCAAATGTACATTTTTGGGGAGAAGACTCCAAGGTTTGATCAGATTCTTAAAAGGTCAAGCAGCTCTGATCTGGTCGGGACCCCTTCATGATGCAGATGGCCATACTGAGACACAGAGAGGGGATGAGATCTGTCCAAGGTCACTCAGGGGTTGGTGGCAGAGCCAGCCAGGCTGCACACCTGCCTGATCATACACCCCTTGCTCCCTTCTTCCCTTGTCCTTTGATCTCCACTGAACCTTCCCTGCATGGCCCCCAAGCCTCCGTCCTGCTTCCAGCCAAGCTAGCCACAAGCTGAGTGACTCCCCAAAGTTAATAGGCCTTCTGGAAGCTGGACATACAAATGAGAGTTTCATGAGTGTTTGTCTTCTGGTCTAAGTGGACTCTGAACTCCTAGAGGGCAAGAGGAAATGTTTATTATTTTTCTCCCTCTGTCACAGAGCTCCCAGGGCAGCCATGGAGGTGAGCTGTCTCCCTTCAAGAAAGAACTTGTTGTTCACCTGCAAGGGGGTGGGGGTGGGGGAGTTAGCTGACAGATCCTAATGATCATTTTTTTGCTCAGAGGGCACACGAGGTTGGCCAAGACTGTGTTAGATCTGCAACACAGTCTGAGGCTCTCCCCCCCAGCCCTGCTTCCTCCCCCTTCCTGCACCTTACCCCTACATCCCTTCCCCCTGATAAACCTCTTGTGCTCCTGTGTCCATCTCAGGGCTTGCTTCCTGGAGGACCCAGGTGACAAAGCACCCAGCCTGGTTTATCATAAGTGCTCAGTTAACGTCCTGGAGAGAAATGAACTGAGGATTCTCTGGGGGGTGGAGGAAGTCTGGTACTGGGCCTCAGAGAGCAGAAGAGGAGGGGTTGCCAATGGAGGACGTCTCACTCCTACGAGGAGTGTAGTGTAGAGGGGCATGGAAAAGGGGCCCCGAGGAGGAGCCCAGCAGTGGGGAACACAGAGGGAACCCAGGGATTGACTGGCCCTGCTGGCACCCTCCCTAGCTCCTTCTCTGTCTGGGGCAAACGATGGCAAATCTCAGAAATGGCCCAGGAGACGGTCCAAAAAGCCCTGGCCTTGGACTTGCAAAAGCCAGGTTCAAATTGTGCTTCTTGCTAGTCAGGTAACTTTAGACCCTTCTCCTCTATGGAGTTCCATTCCTTCATCTGTAAAACGGGTACAGAGTGTATCCCCCTCCCTCCAACCCCACCATGATTTTGAGAATTGACTGAGAAGACAGTTTATAGAGGGCACCGTGTTGGGTAGTTTAAATGCATAATCAATCATTTAACCCTTACAGTGACCCTGTGAGGGTGGCATTATGACTGTCAATATATAACTCAGGAAACTGTGGCTCAGAGAGGTCAAGGGATTGGCCCAAGAACACACAGCTAGCAAGTAGGCAGAGATAGAAGCCCCTTCGTTATTTAAAGTACAGGTACTGAGTGACTACAATGGACTAAACTTGGCGTTGGAGGAGACAGCATGTCATAGAGCTTCCATTCTGACAGCAGTTCTGACAACAGGCAACCTCACAAACAAAATAATTCCAGAATGCGTTAGGGCTCTAGAAAAAGATAATAAAGCGGGTGCATTTATAAACCTGGGATAACGGGGGGTGGGGGTGGCTACTTTAAATTAGGGAGTCAGGGCGGCATCTCCAAGGACTGAGACTGGCAGCGTGAGGTGCCCGAGCTGGGGTAAAGCTTGGCTGGTTTGGGAAATGGTGGAAGGCGACAGGGGCTGCAGCAACCGTGGCCACCAGGAGCGCGCAGGGGTCGGGGGCGCCGGCAGGGGCACCTACAATCCTCCGCAAGCCGTCGGGCGTCTTCGGTTCGACCTGAAAATGAGGACCCTTTGCAGGCTGTGCGGAGCGCGGAGGACCGGCCGGGAGGGAGGCTGCGCGGCCGCGGCCGGAGCCCGGGGAAGTCCGGCGGCACCGCGACGCGCCCCAGCCCCACGTCGCCCAGCAGTAGGACGGCTGGGACAGGCCGCACCCCGCCGACGCCGCAGCCGCTCCCGCAGCTCCCGGGGGCCCACGACGGGCTGGTGACGTCACGCGGCGCCCTGTGACGTCACGGGCCGGCCCGGGGCGTTGTCAGGGTCGGCGCGCGGGAGGAGCCGCAGGTGCGGCGGGCGCGTGCGCGGCCTGATGAAGAAGTTGGTGGCCAAGACGTCTCCAATCAGGCTGAACGGTGGGTGCGCGCCCCCGCGGGGCGCAGGTTGCCATGGACGCAGCGGCGGCCGCTGGCGGGCGCGCGCGCGCGGGGTCGCGGGGGGTGCCGCGCAGCCTCGGTGTCCCGGGGCCCGGCGGCGGCGCAGGGCCGCGCTCACGGCCCGGGCGGTACCATGAAGTCCGTAAAGAAGGAATCCCGCCTCCGAGTACCTACAAGCAGATTTCAGGAGGCCGCAGAGACCATCAAAGGTTGGCGCCGGCCGCCCCGGGAGCTCAGGAGAGCCCGGCAGGGGCAAGGGTTCTTGGGATGCGGTTCAGGACACGGGGCCTGGAGCATGGGGTGACGCCAGGATGGAGGTGAAGATCACTGGGAAATGGGGTACTGGACACAGGAACCTCAGGGATGATGGACAAGGCGGAGGCCCCCGAAGGGAAGGGGGCACAGTGCACTGCGGATGGGCACGTAGGAAGTGGGGGACTGACAGGCTTCAGGGGCCATCGGTCGGGGAGATGGCCTTGTGCAGGAAGGCGCAGGAGACCTCTACCTCCAACCGAGTCTTAGGGCAGCATGCAGGAGGCGGGATCCCGGGACTGGGGGAGGTGCAGGAGAGCCAGAAAGAGTCTAGGGCTTGAAGGGCCAGGAATTGGGGTCCTTGGGAAGAGGAATTCAGGAAGGAATGCAAGAAACATATTGAGGTGGTGAAACCAGCCACTTCGATGGAGTTCTTTGGGTGGTGGGAGTGCCACTTAAGAGTGCTGCTGGAAAAAAACAGAATAAATGCCTTACTTGGCTATTTGTTTCTGACTGCCTTTTCCTACCACATATCCCTTCCAAAAGAGTCACTAGGCATGACCGCCTCCTGGCTTCTGCGGCTACCCTCTGGCTGCAGGTGGGAGAGCCTCAGGGTGTCGGACAGCAGATTGACCCCCATGGACATGTTCTCATTTGCAACCCACACCCTTTCTGATCTGTTTTTGCTGGGCGTGTTATGTGTGGGCACTGTGTGGGGGGCTACAAGGTTATCAGTATTGACTCTGTCGCCCCAGCCCTCAAGAAACTCAGTCTAGTCAAGACCCAGAAGAGTCACCAGACAAATGGGGAAAGCTGTGACATAGGTGCCCATCAGGGTTAAGGGGTCTTAGAGCAACTGACCCAAGCCTTGGACAGTAGAGTTATGGGGGGAGGTTTTCTGAAGGTTTGGTCTGACATTTATGGCAGACCAAAAAAAGAGGGGTTTGCTTCTCCAGGTGTAGAGAGCAGCATGAGTTTATGGAACTATGAATATGGGAGCCAGCGGGGGCTGCACAGGTGGGCAGGGGCTAGACTTTGGAGGAGTCAGAAAGTTTGGGTGTGCTCCTGCAGGCCCTGGGGAGACCCAGCTTCAGAGTGGGTGAAAGCTCAGTGTTAGGAGAGGGGCAGGCCCAGAGTCTGTAGGGTCCCTTGGGAAGCTCAGAAAACTAGCAAGAGCTTAGTAACATTTCAGTATGGCTTTCTTTTGTGCTTCTTCATAGTATAACAGTCTGGTGTTGAGCCAGGTGCAATGGCACATGCCTATAGTCCCAGCTATTCAGGAGGTTGAGGTCAGAGGATCGCTGGAACCCAGGAGTTCCTGGCTGTGGTGCACCTGTGAATAGCCACTGCACTCCAACCTGGGCAACATAGCAAGGCCCCATCTCTTAAAGATATAAAAGTCCAGTGCTGTTTTCATGACATACTTTTTAATGGTTGGGAGGGGCAGAGAAAAGATATCTAGTCCTCTTTCCCAAGGGCAGTCAAGGGCTTTTCTAGCTACTGCCTCCTGCTCACTTAGTTTCTGGGAGAGCTTATCAGATTTGAACTTTCTGCTGTTAACATATCAAGGAAAGATTTTTCACTCCATATTTATTTTTAATATGGGGAAAATTTAGATTGTTAAATAGCCCCTGAGTTAACATGCACAAGAGTGAGGAGGGAAACAGTGTTTAGCATGCAAGATCCCTTGTTTCCTTAAATGTCTCAGGGAACCCTCTAATGTAGTAGGCCAATACTAAACTCCTCCCCCCATAGGGCAGCTAATCAACACATGTAATCATGTAATCTTGTGCTATTTCTCCATAATCTCTGAATCATAAGCAAAAAGGCAAGCAAATATAGTGACTTAAACCTGTTTAGGGACCCGAGAGCCCCATGTTTCTCCCTGGTCTTGTTGCTGAGAAACCAGAAGCCTCCCAGTAATATCAGATCCCCCCCTCCTCCACCAACTAAAGCTCTGCCTGGTAAGAACAGCCCCTTCCTCAGTTCCCCCAGCTTAAGCCTGAGGTCAGGATTTCCTAAAGATTTTAATCAACACTTAAAAAAAAAAAAAGAATAACATTTAGATAAAACAAGAAGCAGAAATAGAGGATCCAGGTTTTTTCTCCCTCCATAGGTTCTCCCTCCCCTCCCCACCGCTCATGAGCTCCTTGCTTCCAGTTGCCTGGTCTGGCTCCAGGGGAGGTGTCACCTAACTGCCCTGTGCAAGGACGCTGGTCTCTTTGACCCCCCAGCTGTCGGGATCAGGGAAGAAATGTCAGCTCTGAGGCTCACTAGGAACCCACTCAGGTTGGGTTTCCAGAGCAAAGAACAAGAAAGAGCTGGACCTCTACAGGTTCAGTGGCAAGACACACCCCAACCCTGTGAAGTCCTCCTACAGGTCGTGAAATGACCCTGGGGAGCACATCCTTCTTCCCAGGCCTCCCCAGCCTGCCTGTGCCCCTCTAGTCTGTTTGGCTCACCCTCAGCGGGCGAACCTCTCTGCCCTGGACCAGAGATAAGATGGCCAAGCCGTACTCACAGAGCCTCCATGCCCTGGTTTCCCTCTCATCTCCAGCATCACCCCGCCCACCTCCCCAACAAGTGTTCTGTGTCACCGTGTCACAAACATGCCATGCTCAGCCCCGCCTCCAGCTTTGCCCGGACTGTGACCTCACCTGGAACATCTCCCTTTGCTGCTCTGCCAGTGCTAAGCCTTCCTCTGCTTCAAGGCCTGGCTTAGCCTGTGGCCGTCTCCGCAGCTGTTCCTCTGAATCTTTCTGAACCCTGCACTGTGGGATCCACATTGCTCTGTCCCTTTTTGAAGTCCAACCTAACCTATTGCCTGTGCCACTAACATAGGCACTTACATCGTTGTGATTGGTATGTTAGTATCTGTTGCATTTTTTAGTTCCTCAAGAAAAGGAACCACATCTTATCTTTTATACCATCTTCACTGTAGTTCATGGCACAGAGAAGGTGCTTGGTAAATATTCTCTAGGATGTATTCAACTTTAAGTTGTATATATCATTTTAATGACTATTTCATTAGCTAGAACATACCATTCCCTGAATGTACGCAGTAACAGAGCGTTTATTGTAATACATGCAAGGTGACTTTCTCAGAAAAACCTCAGACTAGAGTTTCACTATTTCAATCTCAACCAAACATAGAAGATTAGCTTCTCTATCACTGTAGGGATGGGAGCTTTGGCCCTCAGAAATCTTCAGCAATGTTAAAGCTTTCTATTTACACGCGATAAATATACACCCACCAATAAAAAATACATCTGGAGATATTTAATCACTTGGGAAGATGTAGACCCAGCCAAAATGATGAACAGAGAAAACAAATGTCCTAGAAAATATAAATAATAATACCAAAATATTTATAAAAGCAGACCTTCAACCCGTATCAATTTTTCGTGGGCTGCCACCAACTTTGGTGAGTTTGTGCAGAAGGGGAAGGGTAGTAGAACCGCAGGCTGCTTCTCCACGCATGGTGGCAGATCAGACCAGAACTTGGAGCCCAGCCGCTCAGCCCTCCCTGCATGTGTGTGTGCGTGTGCTCGGGAGCAGAGCCATGTGTTTAACAGACAGATACTCCTGAGCTTCTGCCGGGGAGATGGACTGTGACCAGCAGGCTGAATTTAGAGCTATGTTTAGAATGATTCTGGTGTGGTTCTTTTTGCCACCAACTATGTGGACATTTCCTAAAAAACAGTTTGATTTTGTTAACCAAAACACCTGCCTTTGATGCTGTAGTCATATTGCCTCTTAAAGATTAGGGCATAGGCCCGGCGCGGTGGCTCACGCCTGTAATCCTAGCACTCTGGGAGGCTAAGGCGGGCGGATCGTTTGAGCTTAGGAGTTCGAGACCAGCCTAAGCAAGAGCGAGACCCCGTCTCTACCAAAAATAGAAAGAAATTACTTGGATAACTAAAAATATATAGAAAAAATTAGCCAGGCATTATGGCACATGCCTGTAGTCCCAGCTACTTGGGAGGCTGAGGCAGAAGGACTGCTTGAGCCCAGGAGTTTGAGGTTGCTGTGAGCTAGGCTGAGGCCACGGCACTCTAGCCCAGGCAACAGAGTGAGACTCTGTCTCACACACACACACACACAAAACGAAAAAAACATTAGGTCACTATGAGAAGCAGTGGATGAAGCCAAATTTTGTTTTAAACTCCCTGAAGGCAAGACTTAGGTTTCTCTTTTGATTCTTTTGTGTAGGGCTTTACATCAAATCATTGTGAACCAGAGGGAAGAAGACAGGGGATGACCAGCCAGGGGGACGAGATGTATTTGACTGTGAAGCCACGTCTGTGGAAGGAAGGCAGGGAGTGTGCCCCTTTTGGGGAGTAACCGCCTTCTGCCACATGTGTTGTCAATGCCCTGCTCTGGTTGCCCTGTGAGGGATAAAGGCCCAGATCTCTCCACTTTTCTCCAGTCTCATGAGCCAGTGTCATCATTGGTCACTTCACGACTGCGATCGACTTCTAAATAAGCTCGTCCTGGCTCTCGCACCCCCATCCATCCCTTGCCAGAGGGTGGAGACTGCTGCCCTTTAAACGCCTCGCTGAGCTCTTGGTGAAACGGCTCCTACCTCCCTCTCCGGGTGCCGCTTCCTCTCTCCCACCTCGCCACACTCCAGCTGCGTGAAAACACATGCTTTGAGTTCCAGGGAACACTCCATTCCCTCTTGCCCCTAGGCCTCGTCACGCTATTCCCTTTGGAATGCCTGTTTTCCCAGCTCCCTTTCCCTTGTCTAACTTCTCTTCCTGCTCCAGCTCTGTTTAAACATCACCTCCTTAGGAAGCCCTCCCTGACCAGCCCCAGTCTGGGCCATCCCCCACCCCCGACGCTCCCATCGCAACCCTGGCTAAGTCAGTCTGGCAGTCTTGGAAGACTGAGGCTCAGAACCCAGCACACACAGTGCCTGGCACATAGAAGCTGCTTAAATGGTCTTTATTCAATGAAATAGTGTGCAGTAAATGGCCAGCGGCGAGTGTTCCACTTCCACCCAGAGGTTCTGTATTTTAACCAGTGTCTTACAAAACCTGATGCCTTCACCCAGATCAGTGCTCCAGCACTGTAGGAGGCTGACAAAACATCCAGCCCAGTTGTCCCAAACCATTGTGCATCGGGGCCAGGGAGCTGAAAAAAATGACAGGGCCTAGGCCCTGGCTCCATGCAGTAGCCAGGAAGCTGTATTTATGAAACTCCCCAGGAGATCCTGAGGCAGACATTAGACTAATATTTGGAGTCCACTGATTTAGTCTAACTACCTCTTTTTATGGGAAGAATGAGGTCTAGAGAAGTTCAGTGATGATGTATATCCAAGGGTCTCTGGCTTATAACTAGCACAGCCTGAAATGGAACATCTTCTGATCTCTATTCTGGCTACACAGTCTCAGGCACTGCAGTGGACCAGGGGGAGCGGGTGGGGGACCCTCAAGACAGAACTCTCAGCTAGACAAGGTGGCTTGTGCCTGTAGTCCCAGCTACTTGGGAGGCTGAGGCAGGAGGATTGCTTGAGGCCAGGAGTTCATGACCAACCTGGGCAACATAGCAAGACACTGTCTTTAAAAAAAACAAAAGCGAGAGAGGGAGAGAATGCCCATTGCCCCAGCAGAGTAGAGCTGCCCAGGCCACCTTGGCAGCTTCTGCTGTCTGTCTAGGTGGCCAACTTTGCCCCCACACCATGGAGTTTAATATATACTTATATTTTTTTTAAAATTTTTATATGTATATATACACAGAAAGAGTTCTTCAAGCACTTACAATTTTCTACTTCTTCTCTTCAGAAAAGAGGCGAGCAAAAGTCTCTGAACAGCCCACACCCCCAGTTCAGGATGAGCCTGAGCCTATTAGCAATGTCCTGCAAGGAGATGACATTCTTGCCTTAGCCATTAAGAGGGAAGACTTGAAGAAGGTAAGGATGAAGGCCGAGTTCCCTGACTGCAGAAGGCGCCCCGCCAGCCTGTGTGGGCTAATGTCCACGGTCGCTTCACCGGCTCCCTGCCCACAGGGAGTGTCTAATTCCATGGAAAAGTCCATTGAACACCAGTGTTTTTCACTTTAGCATGTCAAGTAATTTACTGTGTTGTTTGTTCTTAACATTTCTGAGATTCATCTAGAACCACAGGGGAAATGAGATGATGAGGTTTGTGGCTTCCCACAGGGGCAGGTGCCATGCCATCATCCCTATTTCACAGAGGGGAAAATGAGCTTAAGCAGCAAAGTTACATATGTGGATAAAGCTGCTACACCCAACCCCGTGCTTTACCTGGGAGAGTAAGTCACTTCTTGTCTGAACCATCTGGAGGCATAAGATGTTCTGTTTCTCCCCCTCCAGGACATCACTAAGTCATGTGCCTGTTACACAGGCGTTTCCTCGACAGAACATATAGACAGAGCTGAAGAAACAGATGTGTCACCCTTCAGGAATTCCACCAAGAACTAGGACAGAGAGGTGGGCGGTGCTCTTCCTCCTCCCCGTCTCAGGTGGAATTCTCCTCTGTTTTGTTTCTTTTTTAGCAACACATCCCTCATCTTACTGACACGGGAGATAAACCTGTCATTACCCAGAAATTTATCATCCGCAAACTCAGACCCACGGATCCCAGGAGGAAGGTCTGCCACTTAGTAGCACATCCTGCTAATCCAGATGCAGCCACAAAGCCCCTGGACTACTCTGGTACGCCCAGTCCTGGCCCTGGCCTTGCTGGTCTCTGAATTCATGGGTCAGCCTTAGAGAAAGCCGGCTCTCCATCAAAAAGGCACCCACTTGAATAATTTACATAAGCTACCTACATCCTATCTTTCTCCTTCCTTCTTTTTCCCCACCAGGTCCAGGCGACAGCTTTGAAGGCAGTGACCAAATCCTGCCCCACCACATTTTGGGGAATCTCCATGACTTTAAGAGAATTGCAGTTGCTCGTGGGAACACCCAGGTTTGTTTGCACAGAGCTGCCTGGATGAGTGAAGTCCCTGAAGTCATTTCAGTCTCCCACCTGGCAGAGTCAAGCAGGGCTGGGATTAAAGAGACAGTCCGGTCTCTGGGCCTCTAGTCTGCGATAAGCAACCCTCCTCTGAAATAGTTAGACACTGCAGTTGCAAATCACAGAAGTCAACGTAAGCTGGCTTCAGCCAAAGTCGGGGATTTACTATAAGGATATAGAGGTTGCTCATGGAACCCAAAGGCAAGTGTCGCTGGGTCTGGGTAGATTGCACCTGGAAAGGGGTCAGGACTCAGGCCCCACTCCTCATTTCCCTCTGCTGCTCTGTGCACTGGCTTCATTTCCCCTTCTCTGGGACTGGGCTGAGCACCCCACTCCACGTGGTGGAAGAAGGTGGCTTCCCACTGCTCCCTGGGCCACATGAAGAGTCTGTCTTTCCAAGCTCCCATCAGGCAGTGCTTCTGTCTCTTCCATCCCTCAGTTCCCCTGTTCTAGGCAAACTGTCTGAGGAGTCAGGCGCTGATGCCTGGGGTCATGTACAAATGGCTCAGTCAGGTTGGGCACAATGGCTCACACCTATAATCCCAGCACTTTGGGAGGCTGAGGCGGGAGGATTGCTTGAGGCCGGGAGTTCAAGACCAGCTTTGGAAGCATAGCAAGCCCCTGTCTCCACAAAAACAATTTAAAAATTAGCTGGGTGTGGTGTCAGGTGCCTGTAGTTCTAGCTACTCCAGATGCTGAGGCAGGAGGATCGCTTGATCGCAGGAGTTTGAGGCTGCAGTGAGCTATGACGGCACCTCTGCACCCTACCCTGGGCAACAGAGCGAGACCCAGTCTCCAAAAAAAAAGGCTGAGTCACTCTGGGTGAAAGTGGGTGAAGGTGCTGATTAACACCAGTTGTGATGTTAGTGTGTGTTGAGAAGGACAGACACACTGAAAGATGTTGACCATGATCTTAGAACAAAAGTTTTCTCTCTGGGGAGAGCAGACTGACAGCAGTTTTCACGGCCCCCTGGTTCTGTGATTTGCTTTCTGTCACTGGCCACCCTGAGATCCTGAAGGGGAGGGATTCTCGGTGGAATGGGACAGCGGCAGGGCTTTAGGGCTCTGAAATCTCCGCCCTGCCCCGCTCGGGGCCTCCTCACCGGCCCGCACATGCCTGTGTTGGACTTTGCAGCTGGCCGAGCTGATACCCACCTCGCCCTGTCTGCTGACCCTCATCTCAGCTAGAGAAGAGCAGAGGCCCAAAGCCCCAGAGGAAGAGAAGAGACCTCCCTGGGCTCCGCCTCTTCAGCACAACTTTCTGAAGAACTGGCAGCGGAACATGGCTCTGCGGAAGAAGCAGCAAAAAGCCCTCAGCAGTGAGCAGTGGGGCTGGGCTCCCGCCTGGGGCCTCCATCTGGCGACAGGGCTCTGCCTCCCACCTGCCCAGAGCCTGGCCTGGGACTGACCACGTTTGTGCCATCCGCTCCCCAGGGCTTCTTGCTCTTAAGCCACAGTGGGTCCTAAAATCAGCCCCGAGAGCGGGGCTGCCCAGTGCAGGGTGCCGGAGGCCGTTTGTGGTGATCTGGCGGAGTGGCGGCATCCTCGCGTCGTCTCTCTCTAGAGCACCTGAAGAAGCCGGTCGGCGAGCTGCTGATGCACAGCGGGGAGACCTACCGGCACATCCAGGAGGAGCGCCAGCTTCTTGACCGCACACTGCCAGCACAGCGGGACAGGAAAGTGAGGACAGCTGTCCCTGAGTGCCCTGTGACTCGGGGGGTCTTGACACCGAGACGGCTTGTCTCCGGTTGCACGGTTGGGGAGAGAAAATCTGTCCATTGCAAAGCCTTGTTAAAGCCTTGAGGCCTTTACTAAATTATGTTATCAGTCCTGTTATTGGGAGCTCAGGGACTGGTTAGTTAAGTAATTCGGCCTGTGGTGGCTGCTGGTGGTCAGTTTGAGAAGAAGGATATCACAGGTGCTGAGTTTTTAGAAAAGTCTTGGCATTGTCCCCTACGTAGCTCAGACTCCGCTTTTGGACTAGCCAAAGTGCCATGTTCTGTTCTGGTATGTCAGCAGGACCTGCACCAACCACCCCACCTTCCTGGGGGCAGGTAAAGGCTACGAGAAAACAGAAAAGTGGGTGCAGCAATGAATTCCCCAGAAGGAGCATTGGGAATCTGTATTGTAAGCAAGAAAAAAATCACAAGGCGGAAAAGAGAGTGTCACAAGCCACCCAGTTTGTAGCTAGTCCCCAAGCATGTGAATAAGCAAACCCTCTCAAACAGGTATGGCTCTAAGAAGTTCTGAAATATTCTTCAGATGCTAAGGAGCAGAAACGTTCGTGGGGTATAAGTTATGTCTTCTCTTCTCCTCTTACTATCAATGGCAACCTCAGAGGCAGCCCCTGTTGGAGTATGACGGCACTCTGCTTGGGAGTGGCCGAGCCCTGGAGGCCTGGGACTCAGCACTTTCCGTGCTAAACCCAGAAAAGTCCTGGGCAAACCGGGATGAGTTGGTCACCCTAGGCCAGGGCCTTCAGCAGACATTTCTCATCCCTCCTCCCCCAGAAGCAAGTCGGAATTGCTGCTTGCTTGACCTTCGAAACCATAGAAGGGGAGAAAACGTCTTCAAAACTGACCGTGGCGAATAATGGCACAGTGGCCATCTGGTACGACTGGCGACGGCAGCATCAGCCAGACGCTTTCGAGGACCTGAAGCGAAGCAAGATGCAGCGGTTTTACTTTAACAATCGAGAAGGTACTTAGGAGAAGCCGCCCTATTCAGCAGCTCCTGCCTGGGGCTGGTTTTGTGCTCAGGTCTGTGAGATGCTAAATCGAGTTAGGGCTCAGCTCTTGCAAGTTTGATCCCCTCTTCCCTGTCTCGTCCCTCCCGTTTCTTCTGGGAAGTACGGGATCTGACTATTCGTGCCTGTTGAGAGAATGACGGAACTCCTCAGAACGCAGGGAGGCGTGCCCCCAGGGAGCAGAAACATTCTAGGGGCTCAGCTGCCTATGTGCACAGGCCTGGGGCTGGGATGCCCACCTGTCCCCGTGTGCCTGGGATGTTCCCAGTTTTTGCACTCGAAGTCCCACACTCCTGGGAACCTCTCAGTCCTGGACAAACTGGGATGCTTGGTCACCTGCCCTGGGGCTCCATTAGCTTTATACCCGCAGGCTCCGGGCTCAGCTAGCTCCTACTTGTCAAAACCCTCTGTCTCTGTCTCTCTCAGGTGTGATTCTGCCTGGAGAAACTAAACACTTTACCTTCTTCTTCAAGTCTTTGTATGCGGGGATCTTCAGGGAATCGTGGGAGTTTGGAACCCATCCCACCCTGTTAGGAGGTGCAGTCCTGCAGGTCAATCTCCATGCAGTGTCCCTGGCCCAGGACATTTTTAGGGAGGAGAGAAAGTCACTGGAGGTAAGGGACCCAGTTCCATGGCCCCTGTGGACACCAGGTAGGTTACCTTGGTATTCTTCCTGGCTGTGCCTGCAGGGATCTCATTTCTCCCAGCCTAAGGAATGAATTGAATTTTTGCAAATAGGTAACTACTCTTGCTCAACAAACACTTCCCAGGGCTTTGTGATGTAAAAGATGGGTGGGCAGGCTAGCTGGAGGGGCAGCTTGCGGCCCCCACTGAGTTAGAAAGAATTAGGACTGGACCTTAAGACGCCACCTGTGTGAGGACTTACTCTTGTGGCCTTTTGCACCAGACCTGCATTTTGTTCACTTACTGTCTGGCACTACACAGTGGGGTTGCATTTAACTGATGAGACTGCAAAACCAGAGAAAACAATTTAAATAGCAGGGGTGAGTCTGCCCCCATTCCCGCTCAGTGAGCCTTCACCCTGAGTGAGGGCGAGTGGGGAGCTGGGAGTCCGCTGCCCTATCAGCTTCTCTGTGGCCATCGTGTGCCCGGCTTCATGGGGTCATCCAGCTCCCAGGGGACCCCGTTCTGTGGAAAGTTGCGCTTTTCTATTCACTGCGGCTCCCAAACACAACCAGCTACTTCAGCTGAGCTCAACCAGCGGTGATCAAGGGTAACATTGACAAATGTCACATTTGCTTTACTCACTGACTGTGGGACCGATGTCTCCCACGAGGTGCCCCTCCCCTGGGTTTCTGTGACACTGACCGTGTGGCCAGGCCAGATGAGAGTTAGCCACCAGTCTCAGGAATGCCCAGCCTGTGCACCCTGACCCTTCTTCCTAACGTGGAGGACATGCCGACTGTGTGACCGCCAGCTCCCACGCAGGGGCAGCTCTCCCCCGGGACTGGCCTCCTCTGGGTCCTTTTCCTCCTCTTTTAGGGAACAAAGAGGTTTGGAGAGACCCAGAGGTTTTTGAGTCTTGGGAAAAGTGTGTGCACTCACCTGTGTGTGTGTGTGTGTGTGTGTGTGTGAGAGAGAGAGAGAGAGAGAGACAGACAGACAGACAGACAGACCATGGCAGGAACCAAGACCCTAGGAAGGCACAAAGTCCCCAGGGCTCTGGCTCCCCTCGGCGAGGTGTGGGTTTTGAGAGCCTGGCTGCCAGCCTGTGCCACCTTCCCTTTCCCAGACCAAACTGGCTGCCTACGAGGCGGTCACCATCGTGCAGAACGTACTGCAGGAGCTGCTGATGGGGGTCTTGACCCCAGATCGCGTGGCGTCACCTGCGGATGCCTATCTCACTGAAGAGGACTTGTTCCACCTTAAGAATCCTCGGGTACAGGCCCAGCGCCAGCCCCTGCCCCCTTGTGTGTGCCCTGGGTGACAGTAATAGCAAATGCTCTGTGCGCCAGGACCTCTTCTGAGCATCTTCCAAGAGTAACTCACCCCCCCCTCACAGCAGTCCCGTGATATGGGTGCCACTTATATCCTCATTTTACACTGAGGAAACTGAGGCCCAGAGAGGTTAAGTAATTTGCCCAAGATAGCTAATAAGTGGTTCCCTGGTGAGAACAGAGCTTCGTAAACTCCTTCATTCAATCCCAATCTCACTTGGAAGCCCAAATGCAAAGAAAGCCTTACCTTGGAGATGCTTGGGTTGACGGGGAAGTAGGGAGCCCCTCTGGCCACAGCCACTTCTGCTGGCTTCCTCGCTGCCTCCCCGCCCGTGCTCTGGTGGGGACAGGGGGAGCCAGAGCCAGCTGGGGGCCCCGCACCCTAGCTTCCCCCTCACGAGTCTCCCCTCGCCTCTGCCGCAGCTGCACTACCAGCACCAAGTGGTGCAAAACCTGCACAGACTGTGGCGCCAGTACATGGTCATGCCCACCACGGCCTTGGAGGCCAAGCTGAGCGGGATAGAGCACCCCGGCCTCACGGTCCAGTCGGCCCCGGCAGAGAAGACCTTGCTGGGCACTGAACTCTCACCGCGCCCTAGGAGTGTGGTCTCAGAACCTCAAGTGCCCCGGCAGGAGAATGAGGCCCTCAGGGACTTCAGAGATGCCTTGGGGTCCCAGAAGACTGGCGCGGAGACCAAGAGTCCCCAGAAAAAGGATGTCGCACTAGAGATCGTGGCGGAGCAGAGCTCAGATGTGCCGGGCATCAACACCCCCTGGGAGCCAGATGACCTTCCCACACCCGAGTGGAACCTCTGTTTGGATGACTTCAGAAAGGTGCTTCTGAGACCCTGGAAGGGGTTGGTGGGGACAGGCCCTGGCACAGCTGGCTGCCAGTGCTCCTGCTGGTGAGCCATCGAGATTGCTCTCTTGGGTCATCACTTTTTGTCTGGACCACTACTGGGCAGGAGGGGCTCCCTCTCTGACCCCGGCAACCCTTGGAAAAGGGGCCCCTGGATACAGTTTCTGAGGGAGGCCCCAGGCTCCCACAGATGGCACCCCAGATTAGGCTCCATGGCTGTGTCCCCTCCTGGCTCCTGGTCCTCTGCCACCTGCCCGACATCACCATGTCTGTAACTAGTGGGTGCAGGGGCTCTTGGTGTCCGTGGACAACAGTTGCCCATGGTCCTTGTCTCTGCCAGGCAGTGAAGGTGCTTCCTAAGGAGACCCAGAGGGAGAATGCGCTAATCACACTCAACAGAGCAGCCCTGGAGCTGTGCCAGGAGCAGAAGCCGTTGCAGTCCGACCTCCTGCACCAGACGTGGTAGGGGCCCCGCCGGGAGAGCTGCTCCACCTCCTTCCCTTGTGGCATCTGGCCAGGGGTCCTGGGCAGGACTCCAGGGGTCTGGAGCTCGGGTTGCTAAAAGATGCTGCAAGCGTTCCATGCCCTGGAACCCTGCAGTGCCTCCTGCTCTCCGGGGAGCGGTCATCGCAGGGCAAACCCCTCGTCTCTGTTTCTTCCTCTTCTTTCCTGTTCCTTCTCAAGGAGCAGAGGAATGAAAAAAGTTGAAACCAGGGGCCAGTGAGAAAGGCAGATTGCTTTAAAAGCTTTACTTCCCTGCTGTCCGCTTTCCCATTGCCTGTTTAGAACTTGCTGGGATAGGCTTGGGGGGGGGGCTTTTTGCAAGGCCCTCTGGACACAGCCCCAGGAGCCTCCTGCTGAAATCTTGTGCAAGGTTCAACCCCTCCAGTGGGGCTGGACCCAAGTCCAGGCTTCAAGTTGGAGTGTAGACTCTAAAGTTAGGACTGAGTTCATCAGGCCTCCTAACCCTAGTCCTGGGCTATTTTTCTTGGCTACCACCCAGGAGAAGCTAGAACCCCATCCAAGCACTTGCAGGGCAGGTACAGATTTCCATGGTAGTTTCTGATACCAGGGTCTTTGAAGGGAGGGACCCAAGCCTCCGCAGATTCAATGACAAATGAGGAGTGATGGCTTTTCTCCAATACGTCTTACCCTCTAGTTTGCAGCTGTGGCGTGATGTGATTGACAGCCTGGTGAGCCACTCCCTGTGGCTGAGGGCTCTGCTGGGCCTTCCTGAGAAGGAGACCGTCTATTTGGATGTGCCACATGAGCAAGGTCAGACATGGTGCAGCCACACCTCTGCGTGGGCTTCCCTGTCCCTCTGCCCAAATGGTGGTGCCTCCTCCAGTCGTTCCCCTCTGGTGGGGGCCCTGCTGCCAGCATTTGGACCCAGAAGCTGCCTCGGTGACCACCTTAGTTCAGTAGTCCCGGAGGAGTTCAATGACTTGTCTGTGGGCATACGTGGGGAGCAGTGGAGCTGGGAAGAGAACCCAGGTCTCCCCATCCCACCCCCACCCCAGCCCCAGTCCTGTCCCACAGGGTCACGTGTCTGAATGACAGGCTCAGGAAAGGGACATCCTGCTCAGGGCCCTCCTCTGCTCCCAGGCTGTAGTTTTCAAAGCTTCGAGGGCACCGACGGGGCCCAGGCCGGTCCCCTTTGCTCTCCTATCTCATCTCCAGCCTCGTCACATGCCCATGGCATCACCTAGGACACAGGAGCCTGCCACGTTGTCCTCAACTCCCCTCTCTTAGATCAAAAATTGCCTCCCATCATGGAAGCGAAGATGCCTACTGGGAGGGCCGGGAAGGAGGAGCGGAAAGGGGCAGCCCAGGAAAAGAAGCAACTGGGAATCAGAGACAAAGAGGACAAGAAAGGAGCCAAGTTGCCCGGGAAAGAGGCAAGCTGGGCCCTGGGTGGGGCTGGGGAGGGCACGAGGAGGCTGCCTGGACCCATCCCGGGAGCTACTGAGGGCTGTCCATGTGCTCCCGCCTCCTCCAGCAGGAACGACTGAACAGCAGGAAGCAAAAGGCAAAGGATGACAAGAAAGTAATGAAACCTGCAAGCCAGGAAGGGTTTTTCTCGGAGGATCCTGTGCCGGACAGCGTCACCCCTTCCCAGGAGCCCATCGATCCCCTGGTCATGGACAAGTACACCCAGAGGCTGCACATTGAGGTGAAGGGGAGCGCCCGCCCACCCCATTCATTCCCTTTATTGCACAAAGAAGGGCCCGCTCCACCCAACACGGAAGCAGAGCCGCCCCGGGAAGGGCACTTTAGAGTGCAAGACGGACCCCGTGAATAAGGAGCATGCCTGGGTGTGTTAGGTGGCAGCCACCGTGGGAAAGAGAAGATAGACCAGGACAGGGGCGCAGTGGGGTGGGCCCTGGTGAGAAGGTGACATCCTGCAGAAACTTGGAGGGAGGTGAAGAACGCCCAGGTGGAGGGGACGGGGCCACAGGGAGGGCACAGATCACAGGAGGGGGATCCTTTGCAGACCCTTGTGAGCACTTGGGATTTTCCTCAGAGCATAATGAGAAGTTGTGCAGGGTTTTGAATAAAAAAGTGATATGGTCTGACTTAGGCTTTAGAAGAGATGGCTCTAGCTGTCGTTTAGAGAACAGACCCCAGGAGAACAGAAAGGAAGGAAGCCCTCTCTTCCGGCTGCTTCCGCTTCCTCCCTGTGTTAGGTGCATCCTGGTGGCCACATTCCTTGGGAGAACACGGCATAGGGTGCATTTCCATCAATTGTAAGGGTTTTTTGTTTATTTTATTTTTTTTTTGAGACAGAGTCTTGCTTTGTTGCCCGGGCTAGAGTGAGTGCCATGGCGTCAGCCTAGCTCACAGCAACCTCAAACTCCTGGGCTCAAGCGATCCTCCTGCCTCAGCCTCCTGAGTAGCTGGGACTACAGGCATGCGCCACCATGCCCGGCTAATTTTTTCTATATATATTAGTTGGCCAATTAATTTCTTTCTATTTATAGTAGAGACGGGGTCTCACTCTTGCTCAGGCTGGTTTCGAACTCCTGAGCTCAAATGATCCACCCGCCTCGGCCTCCCAGAGTGCTAGGATTACAGGCGTGAGCCACCACGCCCGCCCGGCCAACTTGTAAGGGTTTTGAAACACTGGAGAGCCTGCATCCTGAGCTGTTCTTAAGCAGCAGGTTCTTAGAGATTCATGTAAAAGTGTTGTTGTGTTTGTTTTTCGCCACTGTTGTTGTGTTGTTGTTTGTGTTGGAGGAGAGGTCTACAAAACCACGTTGGGTATGTTAGCGTGTCTAATGGCAACGCTCTGTCTTCCTCTGGTGTGGGCAGCTGGGGGGCTGGGATTGCGTCACTCCTGGTCATGCTCCGGATCCCATTTGTTCAGAAGTTCCATTTGCTGCTGCTGACATCACTGAGATTTCTGATGGTCAGTGGGGTCTAGAAAGTAATTAATGTGCTCTGAGGACCCCTGGGGGTAGCCTCTTTTGTGGCTCTTTGAAATTAAGAATCAGCTTGCCCAGGCTCCTGTGGGCTAGCCCCCTGGGGGACTCAGTGTTGGAGGCCCTTCAGTGTGTGAAGCTGTGGGCTTACAGGAAGGAGAGCGGGGAGCAGAATTGGGGCAGAGCCCAGGCCCACCCAGGGGACTAGATGGGCACTGCTCCCTGGGTTCCCTGGGCTCCCTGGAGCTGCCCCTTTATCCTCTCTAGGCTCCAGTGCCTGTATATGTCACAGGCGCCAGTGCAGGATGACCTCCCCAGACTGGTTTAAAAATAAAGCTGTTTGCAAAAGCTAAAGTTCTATAGAAAGTCTCACAACTTTGTTTTTTCCCCCTCTCTGGCTGTTCTCTTCTGATGCAGTTGATGTGTAGGTGCTTGCCCAGAGCAAACCTTGGCTTGTGATGCCCGTCCCTTTCTTCCAGGTCTACGGGTTGCTGAACACCCTCGTGACCGAGCTGGTGGTGCTGGCTGATGAGCTCAGCCCGTAAAGGATACTGAGGAGACTCTTCATCTTTGCAGCTGACTCTCAGGCCCAAGCAACCTTCTGGGAAACCAGATAACAAACAAATCAATAAAGAACCTTGAGATTTCTACCACTTCCGCCATGATTCTGTGTCTTGGATGTTGGATCTTGGTGAGGTCAGCTCGTAGCCCAGGCCCTCCCTGTCGCACCTTCTCTCCCCTGTCCCACCTGTCCTCAGCAGGAGGAGAGGCAGACATGACACGTGGGGTGACCAGCAGAAGAGCAAGTTGGGGGCAGGATGAGGAATGAGTCGGGTGACAGGCAGCGTGCATCACCCCTTGTGGTCCCCGCCTCTGGTGTCCCTGGCCCACACTTTTAGGGTTATGCTTCCTGGAGCCAGGTCTTCTCAAAGTGCATGACCAAGTATGACAAAGTGGTAGAAGGAGAACTAGACGCCATGAACCCTGGCTCCCTGAGGGCCTCCCACTTCAACTGGGTCCCAGGGCCCCATCCCAGTCCCTTAAGACCACCCTCACCATGCCTCCTAAACTCTGGAGGCCACGCCCCTTTGTTACTTTGGGTTCTAATCTGTCTTCTCCCCTCCTCAAGTCAAATCATCTGGCCTTGAGCCATTTTTATGCCTTAAAAAACAGCCTCTAGGCTTCATGCTACTGCCTTGCTCTGGGGAACGTGCAGCCGGCAAGGGATGGCTCTCTTACAAAGAGAGGTGCTGTCACTCACTCAGTACCTTAGTTCTCTTTGGCCAGTCATAACCATTTTGGGTCAGACTTCCCATGCGGGGAGCAGCCCAGGATCCCAGAGTTTGAAGAACATCTTTGCTAATGGTGGGCGGTGTGGGCTTACTGTCTTTAAGTGTGAAGAAAAGGTGTGGGTGGGAGGCTGGGGGGGGGCGGCCCCAGGCTCAAAGCCTCATGGCTGTGTCTGATAATGACCTCCTGCGGCTCAGGCATCTTCCAGTTGAGACACAGGAGGAGGCTGGGCCTGGAGTGCTGAGGTCAGCTGGGAGCCCACAGGGTGCAGCAGCTCCACCAAAGCCAGCCTCAGGGAATGGCCCTAGCCTCTGCTTTAATGTCCTCCTGGCCCAGAGGAGGGAGGGGAGGGGTGTGGCGGGGGTGTTGGAGCTCCCCCTCCCGTGGAAGAGGCAGGCAGGGAAAGGGTTAACTCGCTGCAGGGGGGTCCACCTGGCTCCAGATCTGCACCTGCTTAGTGCAGGAAGGTTGGCCTCCCACCTCTGCAGGCCACCTGCCTGGCCAGCAGGAAGGGGTTAACCCGCTCTGCGCTTCCTCCTGTGTCCTGTTACAGCTGAGGAAGACCTGCCTGGCCAGCTGAGCAACTTCCCTCCCCAGTGCGGCTGGCTGGCTGGCCGGAGTCTAGGAGGCAAACCAGAGAGAGGCAGCGCTGCTCCCCATTCCAGGGACCCTGCTGCTGCCCTTCTGAGGGGTCTGCGCTTCCTGGGAGTGGGTGGGTCTCTGGGACGAGGGTCCATGGTGGATGGCTCTCGAGACGCTCCCGAGGCTGTGCCATCCCCCTGCCGTGCAGGTCGCAGGTCCAGGTCGGAGGGTCACTGCAGAGGCTCCTGGGGCCAGGGCTGGGGCTGAGGGAGCCTGCGCCAGAGGTAAGCTCCCCCCGCCCGCGCTCCCTCCCTGGCAGTGCCCTGTGTGGAAAACAGGGGCAAAGAGTGGACCTGGGGCTTAGTCTCTTTCCCAGGGGCAGGGAGGGGAGACTGAGAGCTGGGCTGCAGAGGACCTGCAGGCTCTTGCCTGCTGCCCCTCCCTCCCTGCAGCCCCAGGAAGGGACTCAGGGTCCCCGCTCCCTACTTCACCCTGGGACTTAGCATCTTTGGTGGCATTCCCCACGGACGCCTGGGCATCTCTGCTATTCCCTGTTCCTCAGCCCCTGCTGCACCTCTAGCCCAGGGCAGCCCCCCCACACTCCCACGGCCCCCCTCCCCCACTTAGCCACCCCAGGGCTGATGAAGTTGACAGCAGCTTAGAGCTGGAGCTCACTCCTCTGTCCCTTCAGCATCTAGAGGGCTGGAGGAAGGGAGGGATCAGAAACTGCTAGTGCTGGACCTGACTGGGGACCTGGGGGCTGGAGCCCGCCTTAGCCACTGGCCGGAGGGGGTGTGGGCTGGTGGGAGCACATACAGACTCTGGACAAACTCACACACTTGTGATTAGACAGATCTGGGTTCCTCCCGTCTCTCTGAACCCCATTCTGGGGATGCACCATTTGCTTTTTTCGGTCCTGACTTCTGGGAATCTCTCCAGGTTGCCCAGTCCTGGAGGCCCCGAGAGGAGCAGCCCCAGCCCCCCATGCAGTCCTTCTTGGGACCCCCTATGTAGGAGAGAGCTGATGCCCTGTGGCCCCCAGCCCACCCCCTCCTTTGCCCTGTGCCCTCCTGCCTCACCTGCCCTCTGCCCCCCTCTGAACTGGCCTCCGAGGCCCTGCCTCCTCAGTGCCCTTCCCTCCACCTGGCAGGGTCTGGCTCAAGGTCACTGCAGTAATTCCATACTCAGCTGCCCGGGCTGCCACCACCGCCGCCGCTGCCACCGCCGCCTTATCAGCTGCTGGGTTTCTGTTTCACTCCCTTTTATTTCTGGGCATATTGTGTTCGATAAAACCCTTTGCTTGTAACACCGCTGGCAGCACTCCCAGCCGCTCCCTCCCGCGTCCCTTCCTCTCCTCCCCCATCTCTGTGCTCCAGTGGCCTCACCCTGCCCCCTCTTCTTCCCAGCCTTGTCCCCTCAAATTCCAGGGGAGGGAGGTCAAGGCACCTCCTGCAGAGGTGTGGGCGAATGCCCACCTTCTAGGAGAAAAGTCCAGGCAGGGCCGCTGGGCCTACCCCAAGGCCCCCTCCCACTAAGGCCGGTTCCCCCACTGGGCAGGCAGGAGGGCCAGGGCCGCCAGGCCCAGGTAGGGCTCTGGTGGAGTCACTGTGCCCAACTGGTTCTGCTAGTTCCAGCGGCCAGCAGGGAGGGGCCTACGCTGGGGCGGGCTTTGGTGCGTGTTATTTCCCATCTTGACTCCACCGCTGGGGAGGCGCAGGCAGGTCTGAGTCACTAGCGAGGGGGAGGGCTGGAGTTAAACAAGTTGTGGCCGTGGCATCCTCACAGAAAGCCCACGACCGGCTGGGCTGGACGGAAAGACAGACAGCAGACAGAAGGTAGGCAGTGCTCTGGGCCAGGCACGCTCCACCTGGCCCGCTCCCACGGGACCCCATGCTCTGAGCCCAGGCTCTCCCAGGCACCTGGGCCCTGGTGAAACCTGCCAAGGCCTGTGGGGCTGCATTGAACGGAGCCCAGCGTTGGCAGGGCTGGGGTGGAAGGAGCGTGGATTCTGGCGGGGGAGCGGGACAGCCTCCTGAGTCCTGCCTTCTGGCAGCCTGGGGACCAGCTGGGGCACAGCCAGGCTGGGCACAGAGGGTGGAGCTGAGAAGTGCCATCTCCCTGGGCGTTGGGGGGGGTGGGGGTAGGGGGTGGGGAGGGGTTCACAGGTGAAGCCGGGGGCTCTGCAGGCCCAGTGTGTGTGTGTCTGTGTGTAGGTGTGTGGCCGAGCACACCTGTGCTGGTGCTGGAGCAATGGCGGTGGCCAGGGGCTTCTGCGTTTGGTGTCTGATAGGGCCTTGGGAGGACCTTCCTCTGTCTTGGGCCCAGGTTAGCGTTCAGCAGAAAGCCTGGACCTGAGGGCTGGGGAGGGAAGTGGCTGGTCCTAACCTTCCTTCTGCTGGGGTACCAGAGGGCTACCATCTGCCCAGGGCCTTGGGGGTTTGGAGAGCCCAGCCTGTCCCTGCCCTCAGGGGGCTTCCGCTCTGGCTGAGAAGGTGGACTGAGACAGAAAAACAATCAGATGAATTAATTACCAAACCGGGTGACATGGCAGTAAGTATTGGATTAGTCTTACGGAGACCTAGGTGTCAGTCCCAGCCCTGCCACCTACACGCCGTGTGACGTGGACAGGTCACATCCCTTCTCTGGCTTCAGTGCTCTCACGTGTACGTGGGGGTGGCAGGGGTGGTATTGGCCACAACTCTGCGAGGCAGCCTTCCCCAAACGCTCCTCCCTCTCCGGCCTCCTGGCCCAGCTCACAGCACTGGCTCTGAGCTGCCCTTCCTCACCTTGCTGGGTCACTCCGCACCCTTCCCTTTGGGGTCTCAGATTTCAGCTCAGCCACCACCTCCTCTAGGAAGTCTCCCCTGATTTCCCTTGCTTGGGTCTCCCTGTGCTTCTCTGCACTCCCACACTGGACTGCGGTTTTCTGGACATAGTGCCTGGCTCCAAAAAGGTCTCTAGGAAATAGGTGTTGAGTGAATCAAACTACAAAAATTAACAATATGAGAAAAGAGGAAAGTGAAGGGAGGAGCTGGAAAGGACAGGTCTCGAGCTAGAGCCTGGCAGGAACGGAGGAGGTAGCTGAGCAGAAGCACGGCCAGTGGGCATTCCTGGGGCTGCTGTTAGGTCCTCCCCGGGGCCGTGCACTCTCTGGGGGGCTGCCTGGGGTCATCCTGGCCGCCCACGTAGCAGCTCTGTGACCTTAGACAGGTTGTTTCATACTTCTCTGAGCCTCACTTTCCCTACCTGTGGTTGGAGATGATGGCATCTTTGCGGTGTGATTGTGGACATAGATGAGTGTGCAAAGTTAGACTTGCCTGCTGAATAAGGGAGATAAGAAATGAGAGTAAGTGCCCGCTGAAGGCTGTTCCTGGCAGCAGGAACACTCTGGCCGGCCCTTATTTCGTTGGTCGGTGGCTGAGTGCCCAGTGCATTGAGGGCCACTGCCCCTGAGTCCCAGACCCTCTTTTCTTCAGCCCCATGTGGAACCCAAGGACGCAGCCGCCCTGCTGAGAGCACGGCGGCCCATCCTTCGAGACCGTGACCTCGAGACGGTGGCCCTCGGCCCTCCACCTCCGGCGGGGGCGGGGGCTGCCCACCTGCAAGTCCCCAGCCATGACGACCTCCGCACTGCGGCGCCAGGTGAAGAACATCGTGCACAACTACTCGGAGGCAGAGGTCAAGGTGCGCGAGGCCACCAGCAATGACCCCTGGGGCCCGCCCAGCTCTCTCATGTCGGAGATCGCCGACCTGACCTTCAACACGGTGGCCTTCGCCGAGGTCATGGGCATGCTGTGGCGGCGGCTCAACGACAGCGGCAAGAACTGGCGGCACGTGTACAAGGCGCTGACGCTGCTGGACTACCTGCTCAAGACGGGCTCCGAGCGCGTGGCCCACCAGTGCCGCGAGAACCTCTACACCATCCAGACGCTCAAGGACTTCCAGTACATCGACCGAGACGGCAAGGACCAGGGCGTCAACGTGCGCGAGAAGGTCAAGCAGGTGATGACCCTGCTCAAGGACGAGGAGCGCCTGCGGCAGGAGCGGACCCATGCCCTCAAGACCAAGGAGCGCATGGCGCTGGAGGGCGCCAGCATCGGCAGCGGGCAGCTGGGCTTCAGCCGCCGCCACGGTGAGGACTGCGGCCGCCCGGGAGGCTCCCCCTCCTCCTACAACTGTGAGTGAGCCCTGCAGGGGCCGGGACGGGGTGGCCTGAGTTCCGGCCCTGCCTCTGCAGCCCCGGGCCTCGGTTAAGAGTACCGACCTCAGAGGGATGTCAGGAGGATTCCAAGATTAGGCATGTGGCACGCGAGGCGCAACACCTGGCACGCGGTGGTGCTAGGCAAGTTAGCTGAAAGGATAGCGCTGTCACACGTTTGTTACTGCTGTCAGTTTGCTGACAGGACGGCGTGGTGGCAGAAGCATAGGCTCTGGAGTCAGACGGCCCTCTTTATACCGCCCCTTCCAAGCTGCGCGACCTGGGCAGTTAGCTCCCCGAACCTCAGTTTCCTCGCCTGTACAATGGGCATAAGCTCACCTACCTCCGTTGTGCGATCTGAGAATTAAATGAGACCATGTCCAGAAATGCCCTTCGCCCTGTGCCCAGACATGTGGCATTCCCCTCATCCCTCCGCTTCGGGCACTGCCTTTGAAAATAAGGGCAGCTGCTGGGCAGTGCCTGACTCTCTGTCCCTAGTAGCGGGGCGTCCCTGATCTGAGGAATATTCAGAATGGCCCTTTTTTCATATAGCCCTTGACAGCTTGCCCAGGGCTTTGAGGCTGTGACCTTATCTGCCTGGAACCTCCTGCCCTCCTGCTCCCCTTTGCCCCAAGGAAGAGTCCGAGCGCTGGGGTCATGGGACCTGGTGCAAGTCCTGCTTCAGGACCCTGGCCAGGGCCCCTCTGAGCGGTCTCTGTAGGCTAAGGGGGGAATGGAGTCTGCACTGCTGGGTGGACCAGTGAACTTACAGTGCCCAGCACACTGCCTGGCCCAGAAGAGCCCCTGGCTGCCAGTTGTTCCCCTCCCCCTCAGCTCCCCTCTCCGAGCTTCAGCTTCCCGGCGGGCAGAGGGTTCGGGTACCGGTGGGTACTGGTGTGGTCACAGAGCCACGATGGTTGTTGCAGCCTCCTCCTCATCCCCCCGCTACGCCTCTGACCTGGAGCAGGCCCGGCCTCAGACCTCAGGAGAAGAGGAGCTGCAGCTGCAGTTGGCCTTGGCCATGAGCCGCGAGGAGGCTGAGAAGGTGAGCGGCTGCAGGTGTGGTAGGAATGGGACCCAGGAGGAGGGAGAGGGGCCTTGTGCCCCTGAGCCTTGACTCAGCTCTGCTACCCTGGGCCCCAAAGCCCGACTCCCGCCCCCAAGGACAGCGCAGGGCCTGTCTGTGTCCTTGGCTTGGTCGCAGGCAGGGACTGGCTCCCGCCTCAGCCTCCCCAGCTGGAAAGGGCAGTGCGTGTGCAGCTGGGGTGCACCGCGTGTCGCGGGGGCCTGCTACTGCCGTGTGGTGGAGGCGGTGAGTGTGCTGACAGACATCCTCAAGACGCACTGGGATTTACTGCCCCCATCAGGTGTCCTTTTGGGGGAACAGGATGGTCTCCCGATATCATCTTCTCTGCCATCACCTCTGTGGATCCGGGAAGGCCAGGCAGCAAGTAGCTGGGCTTGGGGAGCTCTCAGGGCAGCCAGAGGAGCAAGATCAATCTTGCTGACCTTTACAACTGCATCTCGGATCCCAGCAGGGACAAGGCCACACCCGCACTGTCGTCTGGTGGGCAGTATTTCTCTCTCTCCATCCCCGTTCCATGGCAGGGTGTTCTGTCCTTCTGGCTCCAGGGTGGCAGCACTGGGCCAAGTTCACCCTGTCTTCCTCCCTCACAGCCAGTTCCCCCAGCCTCCCACAGGGATGAGGACCTGCAGCTGCAGCTGGCTCTGCGCCTGAGCCGGCAGGAGCACGAGAAGGTAGTGGGTAGGGGGCCGCGCCCGCCCGGGTGGCCGGTGCTGCTGCTGGTGCTGGTGGAGGCGCTGGTGGAGGTGCTACAGGCACTAACAGGCTCCCCCTGCACCTGGTGGTCCCGCTGCTCCTAACCTCTCAGCTGCCCCCACCCTGCACTCTCTCCTTGACTCCAGCCTCAGCTGCTCAGGCTCCCCCAAGCCCAGCCCCAGCTGCTCATGTGCCTCACTCCTCTGTGCCTTCTGCAGGAGGTGAGGTCCTGGAGGGGAGATGACTCCCCCATAGCCAATGGTGCAGGGGCCACTGGCCGCCACCGGCAGGACAGAGAGCCCAGGAGAGAAGAGAAAAAGGAGGAGGAGAAGCTGAAAACCAGCCAGGTAGGGAGTGGGCCGGTGGGTGTGGGCTGGACGGAGCCTGGGAGGTGAGATGAGTTAGTATTTGCAAAGTGCAGAACAGTGCTTGGTATATGGTAAGCACCACCTAAGTGCTTATTACATGAAAATGGGGGCTGTGGGGTGTAGCAGCCCCTCATCCCATGATGCATGGGCTGGTGACTGAGTTGACAGTGAAGTAGGATGCAAAAGAATCCTGATCTGAGAGCCCTGGACTTTCGGGCACTTACTGTGTGGCTTGGGGCACATCACTGTCTTGGCCTGTTTCCTCTTCTGCACATGGGCTTTCTGGACAGTTCCAGCGCTGACATTCTAGATTACGGGATACTGCCAGTCAGGACAAGCGTGGGCTCGGGCAAACGGTGTTGAAGACACCCTGGGCTTGTATATCTCCTTTCCAGGAGGGGGGAGTGGGTAACCGCTGAGCAAGGCCACCCACCCCAGCTGTCCGTGCTGCCCCTGGGCAGCCTGTCTCCTTCCTGCCCATGTTCAATTTCTCTTGGACTCTGATCTAGGGAGTTAAGCTCATTGCAAAAAAATCTGACTTGGCCCTTGTTGCCCCCTTCTGCTGGCCTGGATTCTATCAAAGCGTTGTCTTTCCCTGGCTGTACGACTTCTGGCAAACCCTTTCCCCTCTCTGGGACTCAGCTGGTTAATCTGTAAAATGGGTACATCACCTGCCCTACCTACCTCACAGGTTTGTTATGAAAATCAGGCACTTCATGGATAAGGAAACATAAACTCTCAAGCAGTGTACAGAGGTGAGGGGTCATGAGCAGATATCTGTGGAATGAATAAAGGGGAGCACGAGCTGCCGTCAGGCTGACAGGTCAGGGCCTGCCCTCCCTCTGGGCCCCGCCCACTCCTGAGCCATGGCTGCCTCTCCCCTCCACAGTCCTCCATCCTGGACTTGGCTGACATCTTCGTACCTGCCCCGGCCCCGTCCTCCACACACTGCTCTGCTGACCCATGGGACATCCCAGGTGGGCACGGAGGGCTGCAAGAGGCTCCCAGGCTGGTCCCAGGGAGCTCCTTCCTTCCCAGCCACTTGCTGGCAAAGCACCTCCCTCCAGTAACTAACTGCAGGTCCCTGGGCAAGTCACTCATTGCCCTGACCCTCTGCTGTCTTTGGGACACGGCTCTCGGAGTGAGGGCCAGGGGAGCACGTCTAGGAAGGCCAGCTCATGAGAAATGCAGCATGTGTTCTCTCGCTGCCTCACTCGCTTAGCCCATCTCGGCCTGAGTAGGTGGCCTGAGTCGCCCCTGCCGGGGGCACCAGGCTCCTGGGCTAACTTGCTGAATCCAGGCTCCAGCTTGCTGGGTGGTCCCGAGTCGGTGGCCCATCTATGACGTGGATCCCACGCCTCCCACTAGGGCAGGGTAACTGGGAAGGGCCTGGATGAGGGTTTGGGTGGGTCTGGGATCATGCCTATGCTGTTCCCATTTCAGGTCTTAGGCCAAACACAGAGGCCAGTGGCTCCTCCTGGGGGCCTTCTGCAGACCCCTGGTCTCCAGTGCCCTCAGGAAATGTCCTGTCCCGAAGCCAGCCCTGGGACTTGCCTCCTACGCTCTCCTCCTCTGAGCCCTGGGGCAGGACCCCAGTGCTGCCCGCTGGACCCCCGACCACAGACCCCTGGGCACTGAGCTCCCCCCACCACAAACTTCCCAGCGCTGGGGCTGACCCTTGGGGGACCTCCCTGGACACCTCTGACACACCTGGTAAGTACAGGGCCTGAGGGTGTCGGTGAGGGTCTGGGGGGCTTCAGGGTCCCCTTCCTTCCAGTGCCAAGGGGGCAGCAGATCCTGTCTGTGCTAAGAGGGGCATTTCCCCGAAAAGGGGTCAGACCAGTGCCTATTCTCTTTGCCAACACATCTCCTCTCCCTCTTCTCATCTAGCTCTAGGTGGTACCTCGACCTTTGACCCATTTGCCAAACCCCCAGAATCCACGGAGACCAAGGAGGGGCTGGAGTGCTCCCGGACCCTGTCCTCCGGGAAGCTCGGCAGCCCTGTGGGTGAGCAGGAGGCAAGGGGACCTCGAGGTTCGGTTCGGGGAACAGGGTCCCACCCAGAGGGGCTCTGCCCTCCTCCTCCCATGTGGGGGACCCATCCCTCTCCCCACCAGTGAGCTCTAGCATTTCTCTTCCAGAGCTGGACCTGTTTGGAGAGCCTAGCCCCAGTGCTAAGCAAAATGGCACGAAGGAGCCAGACGCCTTTGACCTGGGCGTACTAGGGGAGGCGCTAACCCAGCCCGGCAAGGAGGCCCGAGGGTGCCGCACACCTGAGTCCTTCCTGGGCCCCTCAGCCTCTTCCTTGGTCAACCTTGACTCCTTGGTCAAGGTGCCCCAGGCGGCACAGACCCGGAACCCCTTCCTGACAGGTAGGACACCCCCTCGTCCCTCAATGCTGGGGCTCTGCTCTCTGTGCCCTAGAATCTTCCTCTTGACCCTCCCTGCTTCAGGCTCTGTCCTCGGCCTGCACCAAGCCCACCCACTGTCATTCCAGGTCCCAGCGCTCCGTCCCCCACCAACCCGTTTGGCGCTGGCGAGCCGGGCCGGCCCACACTGAACCAGATGCGCACCGGGTCGCCGGCGCTGGGCCTGGCGGCCGGCGGGCCTGTCGGGGCGCCCCTGGGCTCCATGACCTACAGCGCCTCCCTGCCCCTCCCGCTCAGCAGCGTGCCCGCGGGCGTGAGCCTCCCGGTCTCCGTCAGCGTCTTCCCGCAGGCCGGAGCCTTCGCGCCGCCGCCCGCCGGCCTCCCGCAGCCGCTGCTGCCCACGTCGGGGTCGGCCGGGCCCCCGCAGCCGGGCACCAACCCCTTCCTCTGAGCGCCGCTCGCCGTCCTGCCTGGGGCCTGCTGGCCCGTGCGCACCCCTACTCCCGTCCTGGCGGAGCGGCGCGGGGGTTGAACACTGCTCCAGGCCTTGGCGACCTAGCCCTGCGGCAGCTCCTGAAGCTAGAAACGTCCGGGAGCTAGAGACTGAACGCCTCCGTAATAAAGACCGCAAGCCCAGCCTTCAGCTCTCACCAAGCGGACTCTTTGCCGGGTGTGGCGGCCGGGTCTGGACCACAATGTGATCTCCAGCTGCCGAGGAAACTACTGCTTCTCAACTTGGGGTGCAAAACTGCTCCCACTTCCCGTACGGCTCCTTTCGACTTCCCTCCCCCTCTCCCCCATTCCCTGTCACCTTGACAGGGTCGCTTCCAGATGCTCCTGAGCTCTCACTCATTCCGTCATTTCACTCATTTATCATACACAGGCACTGGGATGTTCTGAAGCAAGGGACAATGGGCATTTGTTCGCATTTATTGCACACTCATTATGTGCTAAGCACTATAGACGGATCAATTCATTTAATCTTGCAACATCTCTCTGAGGTAGATAAATATCGTTACCTGCATACTTTGTGAGGCCCAGTACAAAATGAAAATGCGGGCTCCTTGTTCAAAATTGGGTTAAGAATTTCAAAACGGGGACAACAGAGCATGAAACCAAGCACAAAGCTCTCCGAAGTGCGGTGGCACAGGTCTGTCACTCTTGCAGCTGGCACTGCTCCCATTTCACAGGCAAGGGAGCCCAGGCTCAGCGGGGTTAAGTGGCGGCTCAAAGTCACAAAGCGCTAGCGGAGTGGGGCTAGAACTCAGAGTCAGACGGGGAGCTCCCAGGCTGGGCTCCAGACTTAACTAAGCAAATACTGAGCGACTGCTGCAAACAACGTGCTGGGCTAACCTGGGAGGGTCCAGGAGTTGCTAAGCCTACAACCTCCAGGAGCTCAGGGCCTGGCAGGGCAGGCGAGCCAGGGGCACGTGATGGCTGCGGCACCAGGCGGGTACAGGAGCTTTGTCTTACTGAGTCACCTTAAATCTGGCTCTACCCTCTGCCCACTTCACCAGGGCTGGCAAGAAACTTCACCTTAACCATGCAGAGGAGTCTGATCCTCCTGGGGGTTTTTGTGGGGTCTGGGAAACCAAGGATGGGGGCAGGGCCAGGTACATCATCCAGGGGGACCCCCACTCCTTTTCTACCCAGTGCCCCCGATCACTGGGCCACTGGACACTGAAGTGTCCTCAGTGCTAAGGGTCTGGCTCTACAGGCAGCCTGCGGCCCTTCCCAAGCCCCTTTCAGGGTGCCTGGGGTAAAGGGCCTTCCACGCGCCAGAAATGCCAAATTCCGTGTGGGGTGGGGGAGACACAAGGCTATTCTTCCCGAGGTGGGGGTGGGGGAAGGGAGTCCCACAGTGGCTATGACAAATGGAATGGACAGGAGCACCTGCTCAGGAGGCAGACTGACAGGGTTCAAAACTCTGCTCCAAGGGTTGAATTTCATAACAATAATCACTTAGTAATAAGTGGTTATGATCTCTGGCCTTGAGTAAATTACCTAACCTCCCTATGTCTGTGCCTGTTTCCTTACTTGCCAAATGGGACGGAGAGCTCCTCCCTTATGAGTCTGCTGTGTGGACACTCCGGGCTAGTGTCCGGTCAGCCCAGGGCCCACCCTCTGCCGAGACTGGCCAGGAGGAATGAACCCACATGGCCCTCACTCTGAATTTTGCCAGGCAGTAGCCGGAGTCCAGCCCCCGTCTGCTTCTGCCACACCCACACCTGGAAGCTTCCACCTTCTTGGTCCCTGATCCATCCTTTGTGCCTCCCCTACCCAGGCCCTCTTCTAAACCAGCTGTCCCCTGAGCACTCCCAGGGAGCTATTTCGTCTCCCACGAAGAGGTTGGGAGTCTTGCTTCCCATAGGTACTTCCGGACCATCTTCCTCCTCTTAAGATGCTTCCTCCTTGGAGGCTGGTGCCACTGGGTTGTCCCGCCTCCACCCTGCCTGGGGCTGTCACTCCACCTCATTCTTGGGATGCTTTGGCCTTGGCGCATGGTCTTCTCACCCAGCTCTTACCTCACTCCTTTTCTACCTCAGTTTCAGGTGACTCCATTATCCCAGGAGATGACCTCTCTGCCCCTCAACCTCTCGGCTCCCCTCACCCACGGTCACACTTTGGGGCCCGTCATCACCCCAGATTCCTCTACATTCAAGGCAGCTTCCAGTTTCTCTGAGCTTAGTACCATCCCTTCCAGCCGGAGCTCATTCTCTGGAGCACCCACCAGAACCCCCCCTGCCTGCCAACCCTTCCGACACCTGCCGCCCCACACTCTCAGAACCGCGCGGGGTCAGCCGTCTCTTCTCTCCTCGGCAGCTTCAGTCACTGTCTCTCAACCAAACCCTTCCCGTCGATGCGTGTCACAGCTTCCTCCATCTTGAAAGTGTGTTTCCGTCCTTCCCCTCACAGCAAGCGCCCATCCAGTCTCCATTTGCCCTTCCTTTCCCCTCCCTCCTCAACCCACTCCGGTTGGCTTAAAGCCCTCTGCTTGTTGTCGCTGGGACAACGCCCGCCAAGCCCACCTGTGGGGACAGGGACCTTTTCCTGTCCCACCCTGGTTGGCTTCTCAGGAGTCTGATAGTGTTGACACTCCATGCTTCTTCTTCTTCTTCTTTTTTTTTTTTTTTATTTATTTTTTTAGCTAGGTCCAGTGAACAGTAACTCCATGCTTCTTGCACCCCTCAGTCCCCTTGCCTCTGGGGTGCCACCCTGTCTGGGTTTCCCCTCTGTACGCTGGCTGGTCCCCGCCTGTGTCTTTCTCAGGCTCACTCAAGCCCAGACCTGAGTCCTCTTCTCTGCTCGCTGCACTCTCCCCAGTGAACTCTCCGCACCCCCATCCAAATCCCTCTCTCCTGACAGCCTGTCCTCTGCGCTCCATGCCTTGTCATCTCTGCCTCCCTGTGCATATACTAGAAGGCGCCTCAAACCAACGTGAACCTCATGAAGCCCCCCTCTCTTCAGGGAATGGCCCCACCTGCAATCAGCCTGGACACCCCCCTCTTCCTCACTGCCAGTCCTGACCATGCTTCCTCCTCCTGACCTCCAGCCCACCGCCTTCTGTGTATCTCTGCCCGCCATCTGCCCTGGGTGCTGCTATGACCTCCTACCTGCCCCTGCTCCACGCTTGCCCCTTTCTCCATTGAGCTCCAGTGGGATCTTTCCAAAATGCAGACCCAACCAGGTCACTCTCCTGACTAAAGCCCTTCAGCAACTTCCTTCTGCTCTCATCAAAAATCCCCTTCTAACTGGGTGAGGTGGCTCATGCCTATAACCCCTGCACTTCGAGAGGCCGAGGTGGGAGGATCAGTTGAGGCCAGGAGTTCCAGACCTGCCTGGGCAATGCGGGGAGACCACAGCTCTCTAGTTAAAAAATCCCCTCTGACAGCTCACAAGTCCTTCCGAGACCTGGCCCCTGCCTTCCTCCTCAACCTCCTAACCTCATCTACTGCCTGTCTTCCTTCCTGCAGTTCCTCAGCCCTGATTCACTGACATTCCACAGGGCCTTTGCACATACTCTTCCTTCTGACTCCTTCCCCACCCATTCCCATGTTCCAACTCCCCTCCTATCATTCTCTGTAGCTACTACACAAATGTGATTTCCTCAGGGAGGCTGTCATCCCTTGGCCCTTCCAGCAGATCATGTCCATTGTTATGTTATACCCACCCATGGCACTTGTCACAGTGGGTGGCTGTATATTCATTTGTATGGTGTTGGGTTAGCTTCTGCCTCTCTCAACAGACTGCGGGTCACATGGGTGCAGGAACCTTGTCTCTCTCTGCTCACCACTGTACACCCCAGGGCCTTGCAGAGTGGTTGGCAGCCGACAATAAATATTGGCTGAATGTAGCAAATGAGGCAAGTGTGCAAAGTGTACTTAGGACATAAAACTGGCTCGCAGTTGTTATTCAGGGATGGCTTCCGGGGTGGGTGGGATTTGAGCAGGGCCTTGAGATAGGGCTGTGCAAGCCAAAGCCTGCTAGCTCGTCCACCTGCACAAGGCATGCCTTTGGCTCCAGCCTCGTTTCTCCTTTGTAAAATGGACAAGGATTGGACAAAATGAGCTAGGGCTCTGGCACTGCCTGTCCCTAGCATCCCGCAGCCTTTCCTATTCCCATCAGGAGGGATGTCCTCCCGAAGGCAGGGGTTTAATCCGGTTGAACCCAGCCGAGTTTCACGCGCACACTCGCAAGCGCGGGCTGTCTGGTCTGCAATTTCGCACTCTGCCACCGGGCGGCGCTCGGAGACCAGCCACTCAGCCCCGATCCGTGGCTACGACCCGCCCGCGGCTCTGTCGGGGCCCGGCCCGCCCTTCGCAGCCTCCTGCCCTCCCTTCCTGTCCGCGGCGTCCCGGCCCACCGCCCGCAGCAGCCATGCTGGGCGCGCGGGTCTGGCTGAGCCGCGGCCTTCTGCTGGGCGGAGCTGGGCCGGGCCTCGCCGCGAGCCGCAGGTACGGGCGGGCGAGCGGGCCGCGGGGGCGCGCCCTGCGCCTGCGGGGCCCCGTGGCTGGTCTTCCCAGAGTGGTCTCGGTGCCTGCCTGGACCACCCCTGCATGCTTGGTCCTCGCCCCACCCCGCCTCCGGTCTACTCCCGCGGCCTGACCCCTGCAGGAAGGTCCTCCTCCCCCCATCCATGCCGCTGCAAGGCTGGCTTCCCAAGGACTGTTCTGACACTGCCTCCGGGAAGCCTTCCTTACACCCAATGCTGGCCCCAGGGCCATTCTCCAACAGCACCCTGTGTCCCGTCACTGTCCTTCATTGCTGCACGGGCCTGTCATTATTTAGGTCTGCCCGGCAGCGCCAGCCTCCCAGCCACTCTCCCAGGCCGAACTCCCTGAGGTCAGGGCCTGTTTTGGGTTCCCTAGGTGTCCTGGTGTCTAGCACAGGACCTGGCCCTGCAGAAGTGCCCAGCAGGTGGCCGTTGAGTGAGGGAAACTCTATGTCTGTCTTCCTCTGGTTGTCCCCCACCTGGTTCAGTCCCAGACCCTACTATTCTTAACCTGTGCAGCCACCAGCAGTGGGCAGCCTTCCTGCCAGGTCTCCCTCCCTGCCAGGTCTCCCTCCCAGGCCTGCCATAGAAACGCCTCCATGCAGCCCCACCCCCCACCCAGGGAGGGGCCCAGTTAGGGGGAAAGAATGGAGCCCCCAGGACCATTCTGCCTATTGTGACCCGCCCCCACTTCACAGTCATTCTTCCCAAGGCCGGGGGGCCGAGAGGTTGGGGGAGACTTATCTGGCAGGGAGCCCCCAAATGAGCCACCTCTCCTCACCCCCCCCAAAACACAAGGGGGAGCACAAAGGCCACAGTCTCCCCCGTGGCTCAGAAAGGTGGGTTCTAAGGGGGGCTGGGGGCTGGGTGGGGTGTGGTGGGAACCAGGGTCCTGGCAGAGGTTGGGGGAGGCCTTGGACCCATGTGACCCACCGGCCTCACCAGGGGTAGCTCCTCCCGGGACAAGGACCGGAGTGCGTCGGTCAGTAGTTCAGGGCCCATGCCTGCGGGAGGAAAGGGAAGCCGGCCCAGCTGTCCCCCGTCCGCGCCCCAGAAGACCCCCAACCGCCTGATTAATGAGAAGTCACCGTACCTCCTACAACATGCCTACAATCCCGTGGACTGGTACGTGCTCTCCCAGTGCCCTCCCAAAGCAGCTGGGGTCCCGGGCTCGCCCTCGACCCCCAGGTCTGCTGAGTGATGCCCCACTTGCCATGTCTAGGTACCCCTGGGGACAGGAAGCCTTCGACAAGGCCAGGAAAGAAAACAAACCAATTTTCCTTTCAGGTAATGCACTCGCATTCCCTGGGCTGGGGGAGGGTCCTCTGGGCCCCGGGGGCTCCCAGGAGACTGAAGGTCGGGACCTGTCCCGGGTAGTTGGGGCCCCTCGGCTGGCCCCCAGCCCATCACTGGCCCCCGACCTCCCCCCGGCCCCCTTCCAGTGGGGTACTCCACCTGCCACTGGTGCCACATGATGGAGGAGGAGTCCTTCCAGAACGAGGAGATCGGCCGCCTGCTCAGCGAGGACTTTGTCTGTGTGAAGGTCGACCGCGAGGAGCGGCCCGACGTGGACAAGGTGTACATGACGTTCGTGCAGGTGAGCGGTCTTCCCTCTCGGGTGTGTGTGCTGCTCGCGCTCGGGGCGCGGCTCCCGTCACGCCTGCCCTCTCTCCCCCAGGCCACCAGCAGTGGTGGGGGCTGGCCCATGAACGTGTGGCTGACCCCCAACCTCCAGCCCTTTGTCGGGGGCACCTACTTCCCTCCCGAGGATGGCTTGACCCGAGTAGGCTTCCACACAGTGTTGCTGAGAATACGGGACCAGGTGGGTGTGCAAGGGAGGGAGTTGGGGACCTGGGCGAGGGACGAGGGGACCAGGGCCCCCACCCCAAGCTGACCCCCAGCTGTGCCCCCACCTCCCAAAGTGGAAACAGAACAAGAACACGCTGCTAGAAAACAGCCAGCGTGTCACAACCACCCTGCTGGCCCGGTCGGAGATCAGCACGGGTGACCGCCAGCTGCCGCCCTCTGCGGCCACCATGAACAGCCGCTGCTTCCAGCAGTTGGATGAGGGCTATGACGAGGAGTATGGTGGCTTTGCAGAGGCCCCCAAGTTTCCGACACCAGGTCAGTGTCCCCTTGCCCACCTTACCCCGAGCCTGACCTTCTGATTCTTGTCCTGGTCAATGATCTTCTGACCCCTGTCTTGGTCCTGAGCCTCCTGTCCTCCTGACCAGTGACCTCCTTATCCCTAGCCAGTCAGTAACAACCTAACTTCTGGTCTTTGCTGTGACCCTGTGACCTTGACCTAGATAATGTCCTTCTGACTCTTGGTCATTGACTTCGTTCTTGTGACCCTGGTTTGGCTAATGACTTTCTGGGCTCTGGTCTGGTCAGCAGCTTTCTGGTCCTCTGTGTGTGAGCCAATGATATTCTGACCTCTGGCTTGGGCAGTGACGTTCTGTCTTCTGGGTTGACCGTTGACCTCCCAACTCCCAGCCTGTGCAGAGACTGGCTGTTGGGTGAACTCCTAGCCCCGACCTGGCCAGAGGCATCCTGACCACCAGGTTGTGCGCCCTGTTCTCTCACCCGTGTGTTCTTGGTCCCCACAGTGATCCTGAACTTCCTGTTCTCCTACTGGCTCAGCCATCGAGTGACCCCGGACGGCTCTCGGGCCCAGCAGATGGCCTTGCACACCCTGAAAATGATGGCCAACGGGGGTATCCGAGACCATGTGGGGCAGGTGAGGGGGCGGCGGGTGTTCCCTGGAGGGGCGGTGGGAGGTGGTGGGTGAGGCAGAGGCTGGGATCAGCCTCCAGCCCCACGTCCCACCTGGCACAGGGCTTTCACCGCTACTCCACGGACCGCCAGTGGCACATCCCACACTTTGAGAAGATGCTCTATGACCAGGCACAGCTCGCGGTGGCCTATTCGCAGGCCTTCCAGGTGCCTGGGGCTCCCACTTAGTCTAAACCCCTCATTCCCTTGCTTATACCCAGTCTTCCCTCGCCATCGTCCTGGGAGAATGTCACCCCACCCCCACGTCCCTAGGCCGCCCCCGTGACCTCCATTTACAGCCTCCTCTGTTCCCCTCCTCAGATCTCTGGTGATGAATTCTACTCTGATGTTGCCAAAGGCATCCTGCAGTACGTGTCTCGGAACCTGACCCACCGGGTGTGTGTCCACTGAGGCAGGCGGGCCTGGCAGCAGGGGGAGTGGGTTGGGGCCGCCCCTGCCCTTTAGGCTGGGGCCAGCAACTCTCCCTCCCCACAGTCTGGAGGCTTCTACTGTGCGGAGGACGCAGACTCGCCCCCAGAGCGGAACATGCGTCCCAGAGAGGGTGCCTTCTATGTGTGGACGGTCAAGGAGATCCAGCAGCTCCTGCCTGACCCTGTGCCGGGGGCCACCGAGCCTCTGACCTCCGGCCAGCTCCTCATGAAGCACTACGGGCTCACGGAGGCCGGCAACATCGGCTCCACTCAGGTGAGGGCTTCTGGGGACACGAGAGGGGCCAGAGCCCGCCCAGCCTGTGGGCGCCCCGACAAAGGCTGTTTTCCGCAGGACTCCAAGGGGGAGCTGCAGGGCCAGAACGTGCTGACTGTCCGGTACTCGCTGGAGCTGACCGCTGCCCGCTTCGGCTTGGACGTGGAGGCCGTGCGGACCCTGCTCAACGCGGGGCTGGAGAAGCTCTCCCAGGCCCGGAAACACCGGCCCAAGCCCCACCTAGACAACAAGATGCTGGCCGCCTGGAACGGTGGGACGGCCCGGCTGAGGCCCTTTTTGTCTGTTAGGCACCTGCCAAATGCTAATGCTTCCTTTCGTAGGTTTATTATCCTCAAATCTGCAAAGGAGCAGACAGGCTTAGAGAGCTTTAGTGATCTGCCCAAGGTCACACCCAAGGGCCAGGAACGCTGACCTGCCTGGCTCTGGGGCCCAAGCTGTCTGTGCACCACCCCACTGCTCCGGAGAGGTGTCCGGGGCCTGAGGTGTCGGGGTGGCCATGCCTGGAGGGCCCTGGCCAGCTTCTTACCACCACTGGTCTCTTTTGTCTCCAGGCCTGATGGTGTCCGGCTATGCTGTGACCGGGGCTGTCCTGGGCCTAGACAAGCTGGTCAACTGTGCCACCAATGGTGCCAAGTTCCTGAAGCGGCACATGTTTGATGTGGCCAGTGGCCGCCTCATGCGGACCTGCTACAGCGGCTCAGGGGGGACTGTGGAGCACAGGTGGGGAGCTGGGCAGACTGTGGGGTGGGGGTGGCTAGTCTCCCTGCATGTCCCTACCTGACCTCCCCTCCAGTGGGCTCCAGTGCTGGCTCTGCGGGTGCCTGCTGTGAGCTCGCATCCTCCCTGGCCCCATTTACTCATCTGGAAAATGAAGGCACCTACCCACGAGGGGCCATTTGGAGGGTAAATGAACAAATGCATGAAAAGGGCCCCCTCTGTGAAAGGCCCTCGCTGCTGTGCCTGTCCTCAGCCCCTCCCTTGTTGCCTGTCCCCAGCAATCCACCCTGCTGGGGCTTCCTGGAGGACTACGCTTTCGTGGTGCGGGGCCTGCTGGACCTGTACGAGGCCTCACAGGAGAGCTCGTGGCTCGAGTGGGCGCTGCGGCTGCAGGACACGCAGGACAGGCTCTTCTGGGACGCCAAGGGTGGCGGCTACTTCTGCAGTGAAGCTGAGCTCGGGGCTGGCCTGCCCCTGCGTCTGAAGGATGGTCAGTGGGGGTGTGGGGCTGGCCCAGAGTCCTGGCCCTAGCCAGGGCTTGGCTTTCCCTTAGGGAGGTGTAAGTGCAGTGTGGCGGGAAGAGCTGGCGTGGGCAGGAGCCTCTGGCTGCATGTCTCTGCTACTTATTAACCATGTGACTTGGGCTGGTCTTGCATTTCTGAGTTTTGGTTTCTTTCTTTTTTTTTTTTTTTGAGACAGAGTCTCGCTATGTTGCCCAGGCTAGAGTGAGTGCCATGGCGTCAGCCTAGCTCACAGCAACCTCAAACTCCTGGCTCAAGCAATCCTCCTGCCTCAGCCTCCCAAGTAGCTGGGACTACAGGCATTCGCCACCATGCCCGGCTAATTTTTTATATATATTAGTTGGCCAATTAATTTCTTTCTATTTATAGTAGAGACGGGGTCTCGCTCTTGCTCAGGCTGGTTTCGAACTCCTGACCTCGAGCAATCCGCCCGCCTCAGCCTCCCAGAGAGCTAGGATTACAGGCGTGAGCCACCGCGCCCGGCCTGAGTTTTGGTTTCTTAATAGGCAAAATGGAGCTAACGTTGGCACTACATTACAGGATTGGTGTGAAGACTCATTTAGCCGTTCTGTGAACACACTTGGCACAGTGACTGGCACTGTGGATTCAGACATTAAGCAAGGCTGACTTGGTCCCTGCCCTCAGGAAGCTTACAGTACAATCTGGGAGACAACTATGTCATAGACAGCAATAATGCAAAAATGCATGCACCAGCATGTAGTTAAAATTGTGCTATGTGCCCTGGACAAGTAGGAGCTTCTACCATGTACCTGTCCCCCGATCACCCCTGTGCCTTGTCTGTGGTTAATGGTCTCTCTCCCCCCACTCATTTTAGCTCTTCAAAGAGCAGGACTTTCTGTCTCTGCTCTGTCCCCGAGGTCTGTCCTGGCACATAGCAGGTGCTCGATAAATGTTAGCTGAGTGAATGAAAGGGCCTTGGGAAAGAAGTACAGAGGGGCCCACCTTGGCCTGGGAGAGATCGGATTGTACCTGTGACAGGTGCCATTTAACCAAGATCTGGAGGGCAAGAGGGGCCATGTGGTCGCAGACAGGTGGGGAGGGAGTTCAGGCAGGGGGGCAGCACGAGAGGTGGGAGGGGGGCAGAGTGCAGGCGGGGGGGGGGGGGGGTACTGTCGAGGTGGGTGGGGCAAGGAGATTTTAAGCAGCTTGTGACCTGCTCTGACCAATGGCGGAAAAGGGATGGGGCAGGGCAGCAGGCAGACCCTTAGGAGGCCACCAGTGGTGTTCAGCCCAGGCAGGCATGGGCGGAGCTCCGATGATGCTAGAGGGACGAGATGGGGAGAGGTGGTGGGATTGGGACCTGTTCTGGCCATAGTCCCAGCAGGAATCATGGATGGATTAGAAGTGGAGGAAGAGGGAGAGGAAGGGGGTGAGGGTGAAACCACTCTGGCTCGAGCAGCTGGCTGGTTGGACAAAGTTCTCAGTGAGGTGGAACCCGGGGCCCAGGAGTGGGCCTGGCACACATGGAGTTGGGGACGTGGGTGAGAGGGCGAAGCATCAGTAGCTGCAGGGGCTGGTCTTCAACTCTTAGACCCCGGGGCAGGATGGAGCAGTATGGGCAGGGCCTCTTCTCTGTGCCCCTCCCCCAGGGGCCCTGGACACAAAGCTGGGGCTGGATCCTGAGACCCAGTGACCTTCCCTTCCCTCCACCCCCTGCAGACCAGGATGGCGCAGAGCCCAGCGGCAATTCCGTGTCGGCCCACAACCTGCTTCGGCTGCACGGCTTCACGGGCCACAAGGATTGGATGGACAAGTGCGTGTGCCTGTTGACCGCCTTCTCAGAGCGCATGCGTCGTGTCCCGGTGGCACTGCCCGAGATGGTCCGCACCCTCTCAGCCCATCAGCAGACCCTCAAGCAGGTGAGGGGTGCGGGCACTGGGGCTGGGCCCCCGGCTAGGAGGGCAGCTGGGGCTACAGTGCGGGCTGCCCCGGAGCTCAGGGGCGTGTGAGGCAGGTCTCTGCTATCTGCGGCGGGGTGACTGTGGGTCTAAGGAGACAGACCTGTGAGTGTCTGTCTGTCGCTGGGGCTGTCGGAGTAGTACAGGGGGTGGGGGGCAGGAGATGAGCTAAATATGGGTCCCTGGTGGCTGGTGGAGTCTTTCTCTGTGTGTCTCTGTGTACCAGTGTAATCGTTTCTGTCCCTATTGTGCTATTGGTTTGTGTGCCCCTGGAGGTGTGTGTCTGTGTACCTGCTGTGGGGGGCGTGCTGGTGTGAGTGTTTGCCTGTCTGCAGGGCTGCCTGCTTGCCTTTGCATGTGTGCCTCTGTGTCTGCCCACGTGTGTGTGTGTGCGTGTGCGTGTCTGGAGGGGCTTGTGTGGTATCTGCCTCCCCGTGGGCATCTGCTGTGTGCATTTGTGACTACTGTGTGTGTCTCTGGATCTATGTGCTGTGGGTCTTCTGCGTGTGTCTTCCTGTGTCTGTTTCTGCCACTACGCATGACTTTGCCTCTTTGTTTATCCTCGTGTGTGTGTGTTTTCCCACTTGCCTAGCATTAAATCTGATGCGGCCCCCTGGCAGTTGAGATGAGTCCCCATTCCTTCTTAGGGATACGGGTGGCCGAGGGAGGAGGGAGGAGGATGGGGAAGCCCTGGCAAGTCTGAGGCTCAGACCCTCCATCATCTGACACCGGAGTGACCTTTCTATTCCGGCCAGATCGTCATCTGTGGAGACCGCCAGGCCAAGGACACCAAAGCTCTGGTGCAGTGCGTCCATTCTATGTACATCCCGAACAAGGTGCCTGTCCCTGTGGGCCCCACCCCAACTCCCCCAAGCTGCCCTCTCCCTTCCTTGGTGCCCCAACATCTGTCCCCACTGAAGGCTTGGGGGGAGGTAACCTTCCAGTGAACCTTGAGCCCCCAGGTGATCCTTTATGCTCTGCTGCTGCCCTAGGTGCTGATTCTGGCTGATGGGGACCCCTCGAGCTTTATGTCCCGCCAGCTGCCCTTCCTGAGTACCCTTCGACGGCTAGAAGACCGGGCCACTGCCTACGTGTGTGAGAATCAAGCCTGCTCCCTGCCCGTCACTGAGCCCTGCGAGTTACGCAAACTACTACATCAGTGAAGCCCCCTTGGGTTGGGGCAGAAGGTAGAGTTTCCCAAACAACCAGTGACTTTAGGCCCTCAAGGACTCTGCAGAACCTGTGGCCATCCCTGGGCACTCTGCCACCAGGTGATCCCGGCCATCCTCACTGCCTCCCCGTGGGCACCCGCTCAACCTCAAATAAATCAAACAGCGTCCCGCGGTAACCTCAGGAGCTCAGCCTCACTTGTGAGGGAGGGAGCCAGCAGCCCAGCCCCCGTCTGGGAGTCCCCAGCTGACCCCTCTGTTTCCTCCTTCACCTCCAGAGGTCACCAGGCTGACCCTGTCCCCATCTATGGCCTTTGCAGCCTGGGTGAAACTATGGTCAGGGGACTAAAATGAAGCACAAATGACCAAAGGTGGGCTTGGGGGTGTGGACTGGCCTGGGCGGGGAAAGCCCAGTCCTCACCCCCAGGAGATGCTAAGAAGGGGACCTGCCGCCCCTCTCCATTGTCTCCTTGTCTTGAGCCAGGGAAGGGGTAGGAGATACTTTATATGAGCTTTTATATTTCACAGAATGGTGATATTTGCACATGCCCTGGTGCACTGCAGGAAGTGCTGTCACCAGGACTAAGACATTTCTTTGGGGATATCCATGTAGCCCCCTCCACACCAAGATGGAAGCATGGCCTCCCTGCAGGAGGTCACATTGTCTATCCCTCTGCTGCCATACAAGCTGGTCTGGGGAAAGAGTTCTCTTTCATTTGGAGCATCTGTTGGGTTACAAGTCCTTCCCCAAATCTATCTGAGTCCTTCTTGCTGCAGAGAAAGCCAGGGCCTTCCTGTGACCTCCTCCTGCCTGCTCATGTTGGGAGATGCTCTTGAGTCCCATCCTTGGCACATACATCTTCGCCGGCTCCAGAAACCCCATCTAGCTTCCACAGGGCTGTGTGTGGTTGGGAAGCATGTTTTCAGAAGGGCTGGTATGGAGTGTTGAGGCTGATGGGAGGGTAGCTGCCCCCTGGGGCCTTGAGGGGTATGCTGAGCCCCGGGCATCCTCATAGCCCCCCAACCAAGCAGCACAGCCAATAGAGGCTGCTGGAGACAAGGAGCAGCCAGATGGGGCCACTGCCTGGGGGAATGTCAGCAATGGGGAGGAGTGCAGCAGGAAGGAGCAGGGGACTGGATGGAGTCACTCCCTGCACATGGTCACCTGCAGCCACACATGGGCACCAGGACCAGAGTCAGCTGGGCAGCCAGACCCTTGGTGCAAGCCACCGGCCCATCTGGAGGGGATTAGAACTCCGGCCAACGAGGTCAGCTGGCCCCATTCTAGCTGGAGCCCACTCAGCCTCCCCAGGAAGCCAGAGGGCTGGGCAAGTGGAGCCGGGCCTGGGAGGCGGCAGGGAGGGAGGATGGAGTGTGGTGAAGCACAGGTGGCCTTTTTGGCAGCCCCAGTCCTGGCTTTGGAATAGTCTGGGCAATTTACCAAGCACTCTTGCCACTGTCATCCCGTTGACCCTCATGAATGAGCTGGCGAGGCGGCAGGTACCTTCATCCTCGTACTGGTAGATGAAATTGGAGGCCCAGAGAGGGTAAGAGACTGCCTTGTGACTCCTCAGCACTTCTGGTTCCCTCTGGGGCCTTCAGGGTACAGTAATGACCCCCAAGGTTTCCCCTTCCCCAGGACGCCCGGGCACAGCTGTGAAGGTGGGTGCACTTGGTGTCTTCCTTCCGTCCAGTCTGCTCTGCGGCTGGGCACGCACATGACAATGGGATTCTGTAAATGGGTTCAGAAGAAGGAGTTACTGCCTTGAAGGGTTGGTTTTCCCAGGAGGCCATGAATTTCTAAAGAGGGCAGGGCTGAACATAAATTTTGCTCAGATGTGGGATTTTAAAAGTCCCTGCAGCCTCCCTTCCCCTTTGGTGCCTGTCCCTCTTGGGTGTGTGCTCCCTCCTCTCCCAGCAGCAGAGCTGGGGGCGGGGGCAGTGGAGACAGGCTATGAGGTGTGGGCAGTCACTTAAGTCACTTCGTCTCTCTAAGCCTCAGCTTCCTTATCTGAAAAATGGGGGCCCACCCACTCAGCTCTCAGGGCTGCTGGGGTGACCAAATGGGGTAATGTGTGTATCATCCTGAGCAAAGAGGCTCACATGGCAGGACTGTCTCTGCTCCTGGGGGAGCCAGATGGGCTGTGGGGGAGGGGTCACTGCAGGAGCCCTGAGCAGGGTGTATGGGGGGTGGGGGGTGGTAGAAGAGGTCTTGGACATTTCTGCTTAACTACTTTGTTGGGAAACGGAAGCCCAAAAAAAGGAATTTCTTTTCCCTCCCCTTCCCTCTCACCACCTGAGGTTATTTATTCACCTAACAACCATGTGCCAAACCCTAGACTAGGTCCTAGTGCGCAGAATGGACTCGGACCCTCCAGGGACACAGAGCCTGGAGGAGGAGACAGTCATTTCATCACCACAAGCATACATCTGTCATCCCAGCCTGGGCTAAGTGCTACAAGGTTCCAGACTTTTGTCTGGCTCGGTAGTGTGTCCTCAGCACCTTGGCACTTGAGAGGCATTGAAACACTTGCTGGAAAGAAGGCCGCTCTCAGGCGGTGACGTCAGAGCGGAGGCTTGGCGGGCTGGAGTTAAAGACGGTTTCAGCTCCGGCCTTCCCTGTGGGTCTGCCTCCCCGCCCCTCCCCCACCAGGCTAAGGGGGAGCGTCTCTGACTGGACATCACAGTCCCCTGGTGCCCTAGTACAGGGATGAGGATGTCTTGGGTGGCAAGTTTCCCCCAGGCCCCAAACCCAGGGAAGCAGATGTGGATCTCAATTTCTCCAGAGGCTTTTGTGCCTGCCCTCCTTTCTGGGTATGTTCTAGAACAGGGTTCAGCCAGAGACCAGGGGTGGCCTGGATGATGGATGAGGGTGTGGGGCCTGCTGACCACCACGGAACCTGACCATCGAGGTGGGCAAGCCTCTCTGGCCTCATTTTCCCCCTCTGCAAAGACTGAGTGATGAGAGTCCCTACCTCTCTCTGTGCCAGCCCTGGGGCGTCTACCCTGGAGGGAAGGGCAGGCCGACCCAGCAGACTGCGGACTCGCAGGAGGGAAGAAGGTGTCAGACACGCGGTGCAACCATAAATGCACCCCCGCTCCCAGAAGACGGCCCGAGTTCAGGACTCTGGAGCCTTACACTCGGAATGAGAGCAGAGACTCCCGCCAGGAAAAAAAGGCACTTATGGGATCTGCTCATTAGCATGAAATGCAAATGAGCCCGGCCTCATTCGCACAGCTTGGTGCGTGGATTCGGCGAAAGGGCAACCAGGGAGGCGACAGCGCAGCAGCCACTCTGCCCTCCCCATCCCACCCCGTAACCTTCCGTGGCCGGAGCTGAGACGCCCTCCCCAACCCCCGCCGCGGCGGAGCGCGGGGGCTGCGTGGGTGGCGCAGTCCTAGGAGAGCGAAGAAGGCCCGGGAGTCGGGGGAGGGGGTACCGAAGGTCATCCGGTCTATCCCTCGGCCTCTCTGCAGTGGCGTAAGCGCCCCGAGTCTCCAGAGAGCGGACTGACCTGCTCGTTTCCGCCGTGTCTACCTCTCGCAGACGGTGGGGAAGTGCTTACCAGTGTCTAATCCTCGATGTCCCCCCACCCGCGCCCGGCACTCCAGCTGCCCGGCGCTCCCGGGTAGCCTCATCTTCTAGCAGTGGCGCCGGCGGCGGGAGGGAGCTAGAGCTCACCGAGCCCCAGAACTCCGCGAGGTGGGCGGGGCGAGGGCCGGGGTCTGCGCGTGCGTGTGCGCGCGAGGAAAGCACAGACTCACGAGGACCCGCTGCCGGTGGGGTGGAGGGGAGCGAGGGGAGCAGCCCGGCGGAGCTCCTGTCCCACCGGCGGCCTCCCCCTAAGCCATACTGGAACTCGAGAGGGAGAAACTGAGGCGCGGAGTGGGGGGTTTGGTGGGGACTTTGAAGGTTAAGAGTTGGTAAAGGCCAGGTTTGTGCTCCCGCCCCCTCCCACACACTCGAGGCCCTGCAGGTCCCTTTGCAGGAGTCCTCGCTCTGCTCCTGGGGGTCCGAGCTCGCGGTCCGGAGCTATCTGTCTGGGCCCAAGCTCGAAGCCCCCTCGTGGAGTCCACGCCCTTCTAAGGACCCCTGGGGGCAGGGAATGAAGCTCAGGAGCGCCAACGTGAGGTCAGGTCCAGCAAGTCAGGGTTAGCAGGTCAGGAGCAAAGCCTCAGAAGAGTACTTTGGAGCAGGACCAATAAGCCCAAGAGGTCGGTGGGAGCCACCCCGACCATGCCTTCCCCTGCCTTTCCCTGGCTCTGCCTGCTTCCCCAAGACCGGCCCCCTCCAGCTCGAAGCCCCACCCCTAGGACCCCAGCTCTGCTCCTCCCCTTCCCCAGTCCCGCTCCCAGGCTAAGCTCCAGGGTGGACGATTAACCAGGTGTGGAGACCCAGGCTCTCACTCTGGGACCCTGGTCACACCCTCACCCCTGTGCCGCCTGCTCCCTTCTCCAGGCCCGCCCAGAGAGGAGCTCCGCCCTCCGGCTGCTGTCCAATTCAGGGGTCGTGGACAAAGGATCCCCGGGGCCTGCAGTGCAACCCCAAGACCTCCGAGCCGAATACTGATTCTCTGGGGCTCACTCCAGGGGAGTCCCAAAGACCCCAGAGGCCAATAGGAAAGTGGGTTCGGTCTGGGCAGCCGTCTCATTGGCTCCAGCCTTCGCGAGCGGACCCAGGGGCAAGGGGAGGGGAGAGGGGCGGTCCTGGGCTTCGGGGTGGGAACCGGATTCCAGCTGTGGTTCTCTCCCGGCGCTCCCGCCCGCACTGCCACGGCGGCTGGCCAATGGGCGCGCGGCTCAGGGCCGACGGCGCGCGGCGATTGGCTGCGAGGCTGGCAGGGGAGAGGCGGGGCCGAGGCTTGAAGTTGGAGTGAGGGATCCAGCTGTGGTGTGCGCCGGGCTCCTCGCCGCCGCTTTCGCTTGCTCGCTCCGCGTCTCGGCCGGAGGAGGAGGCAGTGGCGCCGGCGACAGCTACGGCAGCGGCAGTCACCGCGGCGGCTGCGGCGGCGGCATCTCCGCCTCCACCCCCGCCCAGGACGGCCCCCCACCGTCTCCCCGCCCCTCCCTGACCGTGAGCCCGCCGCCGGGCGGAGGAAGGAGCCGCCCCCCACCCCCTTCAAACCCACCCCCAAAGAGATCCCTCCTCCCCTCCCCCCGCCGCCGCTGGCGCGGAGCC